GCCTCGCAACCTCGCAACGACGATGCCTCGCACGAGCATGACGTGACATGCGGTGACGCGCTCCGCGAATGGATCCTCGCCCGCGACAAGGGAGAGACCCCGCTCGACACCACCGCGTGCGCCTCCGGCCGCGTCGACGTCCTGTTTGTCGGCCGGGACAACGAGACCACTTCCGTCGCCGCAGAGGCTATCTTCACCGACCTGTGCAGCCGCAGAGAGCTGCACTGCTTCGCCTGTCACTCTGCGGGCACGCGCGTGGAAAGAGAGGGCAAGACCCCGCACCCCCGCTTTATTGAGGCCCTCAAGTTCAAAAAGAGGCTGGACGTTAGTCGTAAGATGGCATGCAAGCTCGATCGGGGCGACTTAGAGAGCTATGCTTTGGTTGTATGCATGGACGAGCAAACGAGGAGCGAGGTTTTGTACATGGTCGCGGATGAGGAAGGCAGGTTTGGGGAGGAGAATGAGGAGAAGGTCGTCGTCTTGAGCCAATATTGCTCGCAGCCAAGGCTCAGGGCGATGCAGTTTCGCTCGGGGACGTATTCTAAGGACGCCATGAACTTGCTCATTTCGGCCTTGGTGGATGCGTGCCATGGGCTACTCAACGAACTCATCGAGTCACCGCCTCTGCCGCAGATGTAGCTGGTTGAGGGTGATGCGTCAGGGGCTGTACCATACTGGAGGTATGTAGTCTGGAGTACTGCACTGTAAAGAGCACGGAATACGATAGCGATTAAGCACAGATAACGGTGAAACCTTTCTGGCCTACAACAACACAACAGTTTAATCGTTGACATATTTCGACTTCTCGATGTGTTAAAACTTTATCCGGGTTACTCTCGTGGAGAAAAAAAAAGCGCTCCGACTGCGCTCCGACCGCGTCACAATGACGTCGGCCTACAACATAACAAAAAAAGTACTGTACAAGCCACAAGACTAGCAACTTTTCTTTGGCTCCGATGGGGCGTCCTTGTCCGTCGAAGGCTCTCGACGCCGTCCCCACGTCGGAAGGTCATATTCACGCACCTCAGCTGCCCGCACAAATCTTGCAAACAGTTGCCACGATGGTCTCGGCTCCTGAACGACACTCCCATCCTCCTGCGACTGCTCTTTTTCTTCGTCCTTTCCTGCAGGCTCATCCCCTCCCTCAATACTTTTCTCTTCCTCCGCCGCCGCCTCCACGCCTCCCTCTTCATCTACCCCAGCCGCCCTCCTCCTTTTCTGCGCTAACACCTCTGGCACCTCGCTCTCCTGTGCGCGCGTAACTTCCTCCGGCATGCGCAGCCTGAGGCGGAACAGATGCCCGACACAGGACGGTCTGATCAAGTTAAAGGTGTCCACGGCCTTATTTACCTCGACCACCCTGAGCTCTGCCACTCTGACGGCCAATTCCCACCTCGCCGGGCTATGCGGCATATAACTATGCCACGCAAACTGCAAATGTGTCCTGAACAGCCGTTTCTCGTGGTCGATGTCATGCATGAGCTGCAACCAATGCGGGCGCACGCCGTTCTGCCGCATGATGCGAAGGGCGACATCCAGCATAGAGGCCGGGGGTGGGCCTGGCAGCGGGCGACCCTTGTTTTTGAGGTTGTCAAACTGTCCGGTGCGCATCGACTCCTGGATGCGCATCTCGACGAAATCGCGCAGCTCACACTCCGTCTCGAAAGCGGGCTCCTCAGAGCCAGCGTCCAGTTCAGCGGGACGTGCTCGCTCTTCGAGGGCGTAGCGCGCTTCGCGGAGACGCGTGCGGCAGGCGGCGGCTTGCCGCGCAGAGGGATTGACGACGGAGCGGGTACGGAACAGACCTGGGTTCGGGTAAGCGGATTAGGTGGAGCTACATTGGGAAGCGAGGGAGGGAGCGGGCTGGGTGTGGAACTTACCTCCGGGGCCGGCGGCTCTATCGGTTAGTGACCTGGTAACAGGGGGGAGACGCAGGGAGAGCATGGCGGTGCGGGCAGCGGTGGAGAGGCGCAGGGCAGCGGCCATGATGGGAAGAGGGTGAGGGGCGTAGAAGGGGCACCGAAGTGCCGGTGGTGTGGTGAGGAGTGGAAGAAGGGGGATGAGGTTTGGTTTGGTTTACTTTCGGTTGTAAGAGGTAAGAGGTGAGCATGGGTGCCGCTGTCTTTTGCCTACAGAACAGAATTTTGTGACGCACTTGGCAAGAGATTGTTGGACAGTGAGTAAACGACAGTACAAAACTGACATATGTGTGCACTTGGTGCAAATTTATTGGAGGGCAAGAAAGTGAACCCGCCATATCTCAAAGTATCTCAATCGACCTTGTCCATTGGAAACCAAATCTGGCAAGTGTCTCCAAATCTTGCACAATAGCAATCCTGATTTCTTCTTGAATTGTTCTACGCTCACGTCATTACACTCATAGTCACATTTCTATTTTCCAGTATCCTGGGGTGAAGGGGGGACTCGTCTGAGGGAGTCAAAGGATGCAAGACGAACTGTGCACACCGATGGATAGATCGTTGTCAAGCAAATATAACAAAGAGCAGCTTTTCATCGGAGCATCTGGAATGAAAGCTCGTTAGGGCATTTACCACACAGCGTTTGCAGGTAATACAAACCAAAACTGAGTTGTACAATATGTTCTACATCCCAAATATCTTTGCCACCATGCACCACAGCGTTTCTTGGTTTCCGCTGCGGCTGGCGCGACGCATTGAGTGCATTGACTTCTACCTGGCTTTCCATTGTTGTTCTCCTAATTTAGACTCACATTCAGCACGTACAGTAAGCAGTTCAACAGAAGTTCAAGAAATGTGTACCATCTACAGCGATGCCCGTTTCTGCACCTTGACTTTCTCTAGTGTATCTCATTGCGCCTTCCCAGCGTCTCACTCTATGAAAATAAAAAATAACAATGTATCATCTACAGCAGATACTATTTGACGCACTTCCGCACAGAATAACAGGCGCAGTGGTCTAGCATAAGACCCTTTTAACTGTAGGTCCGAGCTGTTGTGTCTTCGGAAGCCCTGGGCCCTACCTCTATGCCGATGTCTTTCGAAAAGACCACCTTAAAATCCACCAGGCATACTGCATTATAGATAAATCTTGCTCTCAAGGACATGCCCTTCAGATGGACTTGCCAAAAGCCAAAAGGCTAGTTTTTAAACTCGCGTTTGGCTTTTGGAAAGTTCAAACAGAGGTGTTCTTAATTAAAAGAACACCTCTGTTTGAACTAGGGCTCAATAGGTCTCGAGAGGTGAGATCACTGTGTTTGCTGGCTACTGTAGAGCACTGTTGTTTCTTCTTGAATTTCCAGAAAAATCACAGCTGCCACTGCAGCTCGCGTCCGGAAAGCATCATTCGACACAGCGACCCCTCCGTGCAGTAGGATTACGAATCGAATCCCAATGCTTCCTCCTCAACAAGCCCTTGGCGCTCATCAATGCCAAGCCTTTCCTTCGCCCCATTCGCCTGCGCCGCGCCCAGCAACCATGCAAAGCGCATATCCCTCCCATTAACCTGTGAGCCTTCCGCCGCAGCCGCCGCCTTCCTCCTAACCGATGATCTCGCCATAACAGCCTACCACTGCGTCCGAGCCGCCACAAAAATATCTCTAACCGGTCACTCAGCCTCTATCCGCGTCATCAATTCCAGCGCCGACCTAGCCATACTCCAGCTCCCCGGCCCCCTCCAAAACGCCGCTGTTCCTTCACTCGGAAAGCTCCCCCCGCTCGGCCATGTATGTGAGATCCAGTCCCCAAACCCCCGCGAGCCGTCCGAGCGCGCCTACTTGCAAAGCGTCGCTTTCGAGATACCCAGGGCGGCAGGGGGGCGCATCCCTCTCCTCGAGTTGATCCCGGAGCACGGCCGTGTGGGCCGCGGATGGTCTGGTGCCCCAGTCTTGTCGGCTGCGGACGTGGTGATCGGCGTTTTCGTGCAACTCCGGGACGGCGTCGTGTACGCTGTGCCGATAGATTTTGTCCTTAGGATGGAGGGTGGAGAAGACTTGCCCTTCGCGTACGTTCCCGGCGTGACAACGCAGCCGCTTCTGTCGCCGTCAACGCGACGAGCCGCCGGCATTGGTGCGAATGTGGCTGGAATGCGTGTAGCAAGGACGTCGGAAAGCACCCCGCTACGCGTCGGTGACGTGATTGTAGAAGTGAACGGGAAGGCGGTGAGCAACAGCGGGACAGTGGCGTGGGATTTTGCGCAGGCGAGTTGGCAAGCGGCCGTTTGCAAGGAGACGCCTGGGACGGACGTGCCCGTAGCAGTGCTACGAGACGGGAGAGTCAGAAAGTTGCGCGTGCGCGTGCGGGACTCTCGTAATGCGACGGGGGCGCCTGCTTGGGGAGATCGGCGGGCAGTTATGGCTGGGGAACTGATTTTTGCGGCGCTGTCGTTCGAATTTCTGGAGAGATGGGGCGATGGATGGATGCGCGATGCACCGGAGGACCTGGTGCACGCGGCGCTGGCGGAGAGAGGGGAGGGGGACGAGATCGTGGTGCTTGTAGGCGAGGCGGAGACGAAAGAGCAGGTTTACGAGGGTGACGGAGAGCCGGAGGTACAAGGAGAGTTGCACTTTTTGCGGGTAGCTAGGGTGGATGGGGAAAGAGTGAGGCGGTTGGAGGATTTGGCACGGGAGCGCAGGCGGGGCGAAGACATGGTGGTCGAGTTCGTGAACGGCTTTGTGGCGCAGGTCCCTAACGGCGTCGTGGTAGAATCCGAGATGCAGGGTGACGCAGACTCATTCGACGTCGTCCACTGAACGAGTGGTGCGTCGCCTGAAGCCCAACTCGACCGGAAAGTGACAGTGCCGAGGGTGGGGGATCATTTCTTGGGTTTATTCCGCTTCAAGAAGCGCTTGCTTCTTTGGCTTTCGCGGCGAGCCCGGGCGCCTGCGGCCGGAGGTAGCATACCTTCTTCGCCGGCGACGTCGCCAAGGCTCTTCTGCAGCAGGCCCGCACCGACGAGAATGGTCCCGGCGATGCCCACCATGATGATATCGCCAGTTTGCACGGCGCGGAGTGCGTAGTCCATGGCGTTTGGAGGAGGGGGATGGGGAAGAGTTTAGGATTGTGTGGGTGGAGCTGTTGCAGACGAGGTACTTGAGTAAGATCTCGAAGGCGTGACGGCTGGGACAAGATCAAGATTTCCAAGATGGAGAAGATGAGAAGGATATGTGGCCAGCAATGGGACTGCTAGTGATCGGGCTGCGCGAGATAGGAGTGCAAAATGAATGGTCGTTTCTTACATCCAGAAGCCGCAACGTGTCCACGTTTGATGGTTGTGAAGCTGGAGCATGCTGCGCGATCATTTGTGAGTGGTCAGACTCTAAGTGGGTTCGCTATTTTTCTTCACTTGCAATCGCACGACCATCGGAACAACTGCGAAACCATTTTTGTTAGTAAACGTTGCTGTTGCGACGAAGAAATTGTCCATACAACCTGATTTTAAGTCAGGGCAAGTCATGCAAAAATGCAAAGAGTAAATATAGAATTCCTCTCAAGTGGCATGACCAGTCTTTTGTCTACAGAACGGCATCACATGTCTCCATACCCTAAGGGCAGTTCTCGACAAACTATCAGTAGCCCCACGCCGCGTATCCTTCACACGAGTGATGCAGAAATACTCGATGGCGGCTCCAACCCCTTGACCTTCGACAAATCACCCACCGAAACAGCAAATGCCGTTTTACACTCACAAAATATGAGCTACACGCATTGTACCGCGCACCGCGTCTTACCAGTACGTACTCGCAACTCTCATCCGCCTTGCCCTTCCCGCCATGTGGCCGACATGCACAAAACAGCCGACCTGAAACAGAGAGGTTGTACACGTGTAAAGGGAGAAGAAAGCGGAGATGGGAATTTTACCGCAAAACTTCAAAAATCAGAACTCAATGCCCGCCTCTCAAGGCCTCACCTACAACCAAAACAAAGCACCCCCCCACTCTTGCGCACTCCGCTTCCCTCTCCACCTCCTGTCCAACCGTTAAACCGTCCAACCATCCGTCCCCAGTCCGACAACCCTCGCTTCCGGTTAATACGCCGCGAGCAGCGAAACAGAACTAACTCACAAACTCCTTCACGCAAAGGCATGACACCATCCAGGTCTCTTCTCAGAACAACGGCACAACCCATGGCCGCTGCGGAGCATCCACACCAACTGGACGCTCCAACAACCCCCTCAACCGAAAAGCCGCGCCTCAGCGCCAACTCCTCCATCGAATCCATCATCCACTCGCTCCCCTCTACTGGTCTATTTTCCCGCTATGACGGCACGCCCGTCTCCGACTCTTTCCCTCTCTACCTCCCCTCTCAAGCCGACCTGTGGGCGCGCACCACTATCCCGACCGAGAAGACGCGCTGCCTCATCCATGCCCTCCGCGCCAAGCCCACGGCTTCGCGTAAGCGCCCCTTAGATTCCTCCGGTCCGACGTCTAAACGCCGCCGCTGGAGCTCGCTGGACCGCGACCGCAAGACCGCGTGTCTGCGCACTGCGCTGGCGGCCGCCACCTCGGGCGACGTGCAGGACCCGGTCCTGAAGAGGCTCAAAAAGGGCTGGTCCACAGATCCCAAGAAGAAACAGCTCGTGAATGCAGAAGTCCGGCAGGCAATTTGCAGAAGCTTGCAGAGGTGGAGTATGCCGCAGTTGAGAGAGTACGTGGAAAAGGCAGGTATGGAGGTTAGAGGACAGGCTAAGCATGACTTTGTGCATGCTGTGCATCAGCATTTGGCGCCAGACAAGGAAGGAGAGCGCAAAACCACCAGAGGGTAGCGCGGCAAGATATGATGTGTGCAGGCAGTGGAAGAGAGGGTTGTAGCGTGGGGCGTCGGAGAAGTCGTAGGTGTCAAGTTTTGGTAGGGTTGTTTTGTGTTTGACATCGTCAAGATAGGGTATGTATTCGTTGGAAGGGCGCATGTGTCCATGTCCCATGCAGTTAGTCGAGATGCGTGCGCTGTCGATACTATTGCACTTTGGCGCGCCCGTATATGGGCCTTACGTCATGGGCTTGTTGAATTGCGGATGGTGAAGCTATGTAGCGCCTTGTCTGGGTACAATGGATATCCTTCGAGAGTCACTAGTGGAATGTGGATCCACCATGACGTCTTTGCTTCGCAAGACGTCATACACGTGCAGAGGTGCGCCGGGAGTTGCGGTGGTCAGGACTAGCAGAAACGGGCGGGTTTGTCTCGTAGTGGTGCACATGCAAATGGTCGATACTTAGTTTTGTAGAGAGTTAGTTGACGGTAATGATACAGTCACCTGGACCAGAACCCGTACACTGCCCCGACAGGTACCGCCCCTATTGGTTCAAAAGTGATATCTCAAATCCAGAGATATTTCGGGCCGCCCAATCCGCCTTGCTGTAAGACCGCTCTGTTCCCTCGTACCCGCGCCCGTCATGTACGGCCGGTCGCAGTCTCTTTCCTCAACTACACCTTCCCCTTCCCCCTTCCTTTCGCCGCCCTCCCTTACATCCCCCCTCAATTCTCATCATGTCGGCCACCCGCGCACGTTTCCTCCTCACGCGCGCGCTGGCGGGCGTCGCGTCACCCCGTAGCCCCATGGCCATCGCCCGCCCGCTCGCCACCAAGGCCCGCTCGGCCACGCCCGCCCTCGCCGGCACCAAGCTCGACCCTAGCGAAAGTTTTATGACGGGCACAAACGCTACAGTCCTCGAGGAAATGTACGAGCGCTATCGTGAGGACCCCAATTCCGTCCATTCGTCATGGACCACCTTTTTTCACAACCTGGAAATTGGTGTCGCCCCCGGCGACGCTGTCGAGCTTATACGCGTCAATCGCAACAAGCTAGATACCGTCCCAGCTGGCATGACGCCTGGAAAGGATTTGTTCCAGATCTCCCAGGATACCATTCAACTCATGAGCATGATCAGGGCATACAGGCACAGGGGGCATTTGGTCGCCGATCTTGACCCGCTCGGCATGCGCAGGAAGATCCTTAGCAGCGGCGGAATAGATCCTTTCAAAATCCATCGCGAATCCGATCCTAAACACTACAACTTTACGGAGGCCGATATGGACAGAGAGTTCGTCGTTTATGGCGAGCTTCCGGGTCCCCCCGTGAGAAGACTCAAGGACATTGTCGCACTGTTGAGAAAAGCGTATTGCGGCAAGATTGGCGCTGAGTATCGCCATATGCTCTCGCGTGATGAAAAGTTTTGGATTGGCAACATTCTGGAAAACGAGAATGAACGCCCGTTTTCAACAGAGGAGAAAAAGGAGATCCTGCGTGATCTGGCCGAAGGGGAGCTGTTTGAAACATTTCTCGCTCGGAAGCATAATACGGCCAAGCGATTCGGGCTTGAGGGAGGGGAATCTCTCATCCCTGGGCTACAGGCGATGATTGACCATGGCTCGCAACTGGGGGTCGAGAACGTCGTCCTGGGGATGTCGCATAGAGGCAGGCTCAACGTCCTCGGGAATGTGGCCCAAAAGCCACTCGAGCAGATTTTCCATGAGTTTGTACCACGTGAGGATCCGTTCGCCGACAGCTACCTTGGCAGTGGAGATGTCAAGTACCATTTGGGCACTAGCACCACGAGGAAGATGCGTTCGGGGAACACGGTTCACTTCTCCCTGTTGGCTAATCCAAGCCATTTGGAGGCGGTTGACCCTGTGGTCGTTGGTAAGACGAGAGCGAAGCAGTTTTTCACGGAAGACTTCAACAGGGAGAAGACCATGGCCCTCATGTTGCACGGGGATGCGTCCTTTGCTGGGCAGGGCGTAGTCGCAGAGACGCTTGAGCTCTCCGATCTCAGGGACTATACGACTGGCGGGACGATTCACATCGTTGTCAACAACCAGATTGGTTTCACAACGGATCCAAAGGAGGCTCGCTCCTCTCCGTATCCTACTGACGTCGCGAAGACTGTCGGCATGCCTATTTTCCATGTAAACGGCGACTGTCCCGAATCCGTCGTGAAGGTGTGCAAGATTGCTATGGATTACCGCCAGCGCTTTCAAAAGGATGTCGTTGTGGATCTGTTTTGCTACAGGAGGCATGGACACAATGAGCTGGATCAGCCCATGTTCACGCAGCCTCACATGTACAAGTTGATCAAGGCACATGACACCCCCATGAACATCTATGGGAAACAACTTATTAGCGAGGGAGTGATTACCGATGCTGAGTTCAAGGACCTGACAGCTTCAATCAACAAGAGTCTCCACGAGAAGTTTGATATAGGAAAGACGTGGAAACCGAGTGAGAAGGATTGGCTTTCTTCTCATTGGAAGGGCATGAAGAGCGAGGCCGACCACAGTCGGTTACAAACGACTGGTGTGGAGCTCAAAAAGTTACGTCAAGTGGGCATGAAGCACTGTGAAGTACCGGAAGGGTTCAAGCTACATTCAATTTTGCGGAAGCAATTTGCAGATCGCAAAAAGTCTTTGGAAATGGGAGAGGGTATTTTGTGGGCAACTGCGGAAGCTCTGGCTTTCGGCAGTTTGCTCTTGGATGGATTTGCCGTGCGATTGTCTGGACAGGATTGCGAGCGCGGTACATTTTCGCAAAGGCACGCAGTTTTGCACCATCAGGACGAGGAGGGAATTTTTGTGCCTCTAAACAACCTTAACATGGGCGAACAAGCTCACTTCCAAGTTTGTAACTCAAATCTGTCGGAGATGGCCGTTCTCGGATTTGAGATGGGATACTCCTTGGAATCACCGCAATCTTTGGTAATGTGGGAAGCTCAGTTCGGGGACTTTGCCAATGGAGCACAGGTGATCATCGACACATTCCTCGCGGCCGGAGAGCGCAAATGGAGAAGGCAATCCGGCCTGACGCTCCTTCTGCCTCATGGGTACGAGGGACAGGGCCCGGAGCATTCTTCAGCGAGGTTAGAACGATATTTACAAATGTGCGACGATGACCCAGATGTTATGCCGGACATGGACCCTCACAAGTCTAAGCAGATTCAAGATTGCAACTGGCAGGTGGTAAACTGTTCGACGCCGGCCAACTACTTTCACGTACTTCGTCGTCAAGTGGCAAGGGAGTTCCGCAAGCCATTGATTGTGATGACTCCCAAATCGCTTTTGCGTGATCACGTCTGCAAGAGCTCGCTGTCAGAATTTGGCGAGGGCGCCATGTTCCGTCGCGTAATCCCAGACGAAAGCACAGGAATGGTTACACCAGAAAAAGTTAAACGTCTTGTCTTTTGTTCGGGGAAGGTGTACTACGATATCCTGAAGGAGCGTTCATTGCGGAATGTGGAAGACGTTGCTATTGCACGTGTGGAACAAATTTCGCCGTTTCCGTTTGATTTGGTCCAGGCTGAAGCTGCAAAGTATCCGAACGCGGAGGTCGTTTGGCGACAGGAGGAAAGTAAGAACATGGGTGCCTGGGCTTATGTTCAACCTCGATTCGCTACAGCACTTCGGGACCTTGAGAACGGCCATGAGCGCGGGCAGCTCACGTATATCGGGCGCCAGCCGTCAGCTTCTCCCGCTACTGGGTCGATTAGGACACATCAACAAGAACAGGTAGCCCTCAACGAGGAGACGTTCACCTACTAGTCTTTGTTCCTGCCCTGCAACTCTGTAGTTTGTTACGCGACGGAAAGACCGGCAGCTCTGAAAAAAACTAATGAGACCACGCAGCTCGGACATAGGGAATCAGTAAACGGCTCAATACTAAACAGCTCGATACTAATTGAAAGCTATCATTCAACTTTGCCTTGCTTTGCCGATTTGGGATTGAAGTTCCTTCGCGGCATTTGCGTGCCAGCCGTGGACAATGCTTCGGAGACGTCTTTGTGGTAGCGCTGCCACGAAAAGGCAACACACGACATAGCGAATAGGAATATCGCAAGCAGTATGACGTACAAACGGTGCTATGGTGCGACCGATATTGAGAAGGCGGTCAGTATCACTGGACATATCTATTTGGTTGATTTCCGCTTGGAAAGTCAGCACTGGCCACTTTTTGCTTACGTTGGTGGCATCATCGGCTATTGATGATGACGGAGATGGCATCGAATTCCCTGTGTCGCCTAAAATGCTGGCGAGAAGACGGGCATCCTCGACCGACAGCGTTCCTGTAGACATTCTCGTCGGGGACGACTTCACGGTATCAATCGGGAGAAAATTGTTGTGGTGTTGTAAGGCGTGAATACGTTTCTAAGGGCAGGCGGTAGAACGTTCAGAGAACTTTCGTGTGAAGCTCGTATTGCTTCGGATCACTTGTCGATGGCCACGCGATGACCACCCTATCTGAAAGAGACCAGCATACGCCAAATTGGACAAGCCTGGAAAAAATTAAACATTGACATGCGCCTTGCTGTCATGAGCTCATATCAGCATCGCTCAAAAGGATGCATCATACTCTCACGCATCGACTCTAAGACACAGCCACAAAGAGCATTCTCGAACCTGGCCTCTACGTCGAAATACAAATTGCTCCGAAACCAGAAAACTGGCGGCAAGAACTGACATCTTCACTGCGCCCTTGCTCACGGGACCATTTCACGATGTCTTACAAAGCGTGCTTTGTTAATGCGCCTAGCCTAGGCACGAACACATCAGGATTTCAACGGAATGCATTAATCCTACAGCGACAACCTCCATACGCGGCCCGATTAGCAAAAGCCCCGCAGCGTCGCGCGAGGAGTCTACCCCAACGAACCATCACTTCAAAAGTTCAAACGGCGACAGAGCTTGAAGAAATTTTCCTAGATTCCTTGCGAGAACTAGAACAATCAGCCGGAGACGTAAGTCTCCATCGATACCGCAAACTTCAGCCAGACAAGTTTGAAAAGGCGGTGGCGGCTGTGCGAGCGCTCGAGAAATCGAAAGGAGGATTCGGTGCCTCTAAGGGCAAGCTTCAGAAGCTGCTTCCTGGGAACTGGAAGCTGCTATTGACAGATAGCGTAGCTGTCGAAAAGAATGCGGGGAGTATCACTGGGCTGGGGTCGTTGCCGGGTGCAAAGTGCAAGAGCGTAGTTGTCGAGCTTAATCGTGACGGCAAAGCGAGAACAGTCGAAGGTATCGAGGTTTTCCTGGGACTCATGAAAGGTGAGAATGCTCTCATTGGGAAATGGCGGCTCGCTGGGAAGACTGGCAGAACACTTGAAGTAACATATGCTAGCGCTCTACTCATGGGAAAGACTACCGTCCGGGCAGACTCTAAAGCGGTCCTGGAAACAACATACTGCAGTGAAAAGCTGCGAGTCGGAAAAAGTGAAGGCGGAGAATTTTACGTCTTCGTCCGCGAGGAGTAAGCTTGAACCTTTCTAGAAAATAATGTAGTGGTCCCGCGATTATAGAATTCTACCCGCTTTCGCTCTCCTCGCCTTCTAACGAAGAAGAATTTGCATCCTTGCCAATTCCATCGGTCTTCGGGCCTGAGTTCATGGGGTCCAAGTCTTTCGCTTCCCCTGTTAACGTCCATCTCCGGCAAACAGGGAAACATCATCGCCTTCTAGTTAGATATCATCTCACGCTACGCAAAAGGGAAGGCAAATTAGGGCATTGCGAACTTACTATATGAGTTGTCTAGTTGAAAAGAATCAGTCCCCACACGAGTGAAAGCCGCACCCGTATCCTTCGCTATTTCCTCAACGTTCTTTCTTCCTCCAGTAAGGTGTGCGAACATCCCTGTGTTGTCTGCAATAATGTGGTGCTTTTCACATTTCGGACAGCGAATGAGTACTGTTCCTTTCTCGTAACTCCTTCTTTTCACGCTCTTCGTGACGCGCTCTCCACATCCCTGTGCATCGCAGGTAAAAGATATACCCAACTTGTCATTACCCACAAATGCCACCTTCTCTCCATCCGAAGCAGACGATGACTTGTTCCCAAAACCTTGAGGCAAAGGACGAGCACTTGAGCTACCTTTTCCAGATTTCTCCTTCATATAGATTCCATTTGGTCGATTTGATAAAATATATCTTCTACGCGGAGAGTTTAATGGGGCAGCAAACGAGAAGGCTTCTTTCGGCAGCGCTATTGCTCCCAATGCAAAACCCAAACCCAACATCGGACTGCAAATATCGTAACAATGACACTTGACGACTCCGTAGACGGAATGCGGCAATAAAGGCTTGATTCACGCTTGCACTGTTCCTTGGTGAAGGCACTGTGGAAAATACTTCCTGGACAGAAGTGACCTTGATGGCGAAGGGCGTGATCTGCGTGGACGTTTTGCAGAGGTTGCCTGAGGGGGAGGTGATTGGCTCTTGAAGCTATCATAAAAAATAAGGCAAAAGAATAATGCGAAAAGTGATGATGCGTAAGTAGACAACCGAACCCTGCTCCCTATGGAGTCTGGGCCTTTGTGTAACCCGCTAACTCGTGATATAAAGGTAGAGCTCCACCTTTGCGTCATCAACAGCATGCCTTGAATATTCCAGTTTGACACCTCAGAGGATATGCTGTAGCGATGCTGTGAGAGAGTCAAATCTATCCTCAATTCAATTGCCGCAAGTCCAACAAAGATGCGTTAAAAGAAGCGAATATGGAACAACCTGAGTCTAGGCTCGGAGAGTTTTGGACGCCCTCGAAAGAATCGATTGCCTCGAGCAACTTGACAAGATTTGTCAAATATTTGAATACAAAACATGGCGCAAACGTCGAAATTGGCGACTATATTGCGTTGCACGCATGGAGCGTTGCGAATCCAGCTCACTTCTGGGCTTCTGTGGCCGAGTTCACTGGCTTTGTGTCGAAGGGAATTTCAATTCCACCAGAATCAGTTATATGCCGTGGCCGAGATGAAACGTTGCCACGCTTGGTGAACGTTTCTTGGATGCCCGGCTTGTCTGTCAATTTCGCTCAAATCGCACTGCGGTATGCAAACATATGTCCGGAGAAAGTTGCTGCTGTCTACAGACCAGAACAATCGTTAGATGACGTCGGCCACCGCCGACGGCTTACCTTCGAAGTTCTTGAAACGCGCGTGAAACGCCTGGCACTAGCGCTGCGAAAGGCTGGCGTACGTCGAAGTGATTCCGTTGCCGGAGTGCTGTCGAATACTCCGGATGCCGCCATCGCTATGCTCGCGACAAATGCTATCGGAGGAGTTTGGTCGTCATGTTCTCCTGACTTTGGAGAGACAGCTGTTTGTTCCAGGCTAGAGCAAGTACAACCGAAAGTCTTGTTCTACACCCCAGCATATCGCTACAAAGGTGAGGTGCGATGCGTCCTAAACAACATATCGAGGATAGCTACTCGCATGCCTTCAGTAGAACTCCTCATATGCATGCCTCCAGGATGCTGTTTAGAGGGGTATAGTATCCTATCTGTGGCAAAAACAGCACCAACAGGAGTTAATCATGCGCTATTGCGAGATTTCGAAAAGTCTGCCGGTTCAATTGAGACATTCAGATACGAAACGATGTCCATGGACGATCCCGTCGTCACAATGTTTTCGTCAGGCACAACAGGAAGACCGAAGTGTATCGTTCAGGGGCCTGGCATCTTGTTAAATCAAATGAAAGAACATTCGCTCCATCATGAAGTTACGGAGATGTCCACAATGCTCTACACGACATCGACAGGGTGGATGCTGTTCAACTGGGTTATCGCAGCCCTAGCGACCGGGTGCAAACTAGTTTTCTATGACGGGGCTGCGATTCCCGACAATGATCCGTTTCGCTTGATCAACATTGCCAACGATGAAAGCGTTACCCATTTCGGCAGTGGGGCCAAGTACTATTACGCATTGAGTCAAATACCAGCTAGCCACCAGAAGGTCTTGCCGAAACCTCCGGTTTCGAGCTTGCGGTTGGTTATGGCAACTGGGTCTCCATCAACTGTCGATCATTTCGATTTTGTTCGTTCTTTCTTTGGTCGAGGTGTGCAGTATGCGAGCATGTCTGGCGGCACAGAAATCAATGGATGTTTCGCGTTGGGCACTCCCTGGAAGCCCGTCATCGCACCTGAACTGCAGTGTGTTGGTTTAGGAATGGATGTGGCTGTTTTCAGCAAAGTTGGGGCTCCAGTGACATCCGAACGTGGGGAACTAGTCTGTCGAAATTGCTGTCCATGTATGCCCCTCTACTTTCAAGATGACAATGAACATCGAAAGTACAAGAGTTCTTATTTCGAGCGATTTGGCCCGCAGATATGGGCGCATGGTGATTTTGCATCAATAACAAAAAACGGAGGCGTTGAGATCACCGGCCGATCAGATTCAACACTAAATCCTGGGGGTGTTCGTATTGGAACGGCAGATTTGTATCAGGTGGTAGAGGGCTTAGAATTTGTTGAAAGCGCCCTAGTGACAGAGCATACTCTATTCGGAGATAACAGGATTGTTATGTTTGTGGCACTGCGCCACCCACTTCTCCTGAGTAGTTCCATAGAAAAGCAAATCCAGCATCAGATTCGAAGTCGTCTCTCTCCGAGGCACATCCCATACTCTATCGTACAAGTCCCAGAAGTCCCTTTCACATTCTCTGGAAAGAAATGTGAGATTCCAGTCAAACGCATCCTTCAGGGCCGAGAACCCGGTAACAGAGAGGCGGTCAAGAATCCCGAGGCGTTTGACTCCATACGAAACGCCCTTTGGAAAAAGGGCCTTCTACAACCTTCTGCGAGTAGTACTCGCAGAGTTGCAGCTTTTAAAATGTAGCCTACTCGTGCAAGTAGTTTCGACACTACATCTACATCTATGTGCACGTGCCGGTTTCGTATCAAAAGTTGCAAAGGCATCGATTTAGTACTCACGGACTCACGACCTACAACCTTTAACAGCTTCCTCGTGTTGCGCAGCAAGAAGTCGGCAGGTATGAAACAATATGACGTTTGAGAAGAAGTGCATTCCTGTGAATTAAGCCAGTATCAGCAGCATTTTTATCTAAGCGACCTTTCGATCCGGGGCACATTCTCCGTTGCTCGTAATGGCATATAAGGACCTCAAAATGCCCAGAACCGTATGTTTATGTAATTTGGACAATGAAATGCTTGGAACATGGGTACGAGGAGGTGAGCACTTTAAACCGCATGGCCTTGGTGCAAGCTCGTCCAAAAGTCTCAAGCTCCGAGTTATATCCCATTTCCATCGACTTGATTGCCGAGCATGTCCGGAGGCGGCGGTAAAATGTCACTACTCAGTGACGAAGAAGGCCGGCGAGTTGATCGTGGCCTTGATCAGTTGGAAGAGTCCGGGCCCGGAAGCGAAAGACTGTCACTGGATGTCTTTGAACCTTTCTCTGTAGGACACACAGAGATTTCGTCGCCTTGGTCTCGGCAGCATGTCACATTTAAGAAGATTGAAGTCGTCAGTGCTCGCCAAATCAATACATTGGCATTTGTCTTTAACTTGACTGCCGCCGTTGCTCTGGTGTGTTCTGGAACATTCATTATTCTTTCGCGCACGGTGTTCTCACAGTCCTTACCAGATGTGCCTGGCGCTCAACCTGGCGCCCTAATAAGTATTCTGGTCTACGAGCTTCCACTGTCTTTTATCATGTTTGATTCAATAATGAACTTTGTTGTCTTCACGTATGTTGTCCTTCTGTTGATCTTTTTCTGTGCAGTGCTTCTTAAAGAAGGAATTAGGAACCTACTCAATGAGCAAATATGGGTATTGATGCTCGTATTCGGTACGATGGCATATTTGAATCCTTACGAACCCATCGTGAGACTATTGCGAGATTTCCTTGGAGTGGATATTCCTGATTCGCAAGCCGGCTTTAGCTATTTGGATGTGTTTACGTGTGTCAGGATGCTTTCATTCTCGACAATTTCTCTACTCTACATCTGGATGACGTCACATAGTTACCGATATCTAACGCGACGTATTTCCTTCAAGGACTGGAAGTTTTACACCCCTAAAATTATCATTATTCTGCTTTACAACTTATTCAAGCTTGGCGTTTTCTTCAAGTATCGCATTGTAGTCGCAGAGTTACCGATGGCAACTATTGTAGCGTTTTTTAACCTTTACGCAAGCATACAAGTGTGGCCAAGACTTGCTATCGTGACAGTCTCGCTCTTGACGTTCTTTGAGATTATTGTTTTGGGGCTCATACTGATCGACATCAGAAAAACGTATCGGGTTCTTGGAGGTGCAAAGTATATCAAACACAGGACAAAAATTCTTGGATTTCGATTTTTTCTTCATCAACAGGGCATTTTTTACATCATGTATGTTAGCACATATGCCCTTGTTTTATTTGGACTTCCTAAGGGAGTGCAAATTCTTCAGTTCATTATATTGTCAGAAGGTTCGGGTGGTAGAGGTTCATATTTTGATATTCAGTACGCGCCACTGGGATTGCAACTCCTTATCCTAGCATATGTCACGACAGAAGTTTATACAAATCTTCCATCTTCTTTCGTGTGGCGAAAGCTTTTCTTCCATAACTCTCGAGACCATATCGAGAATACTTCAGAACCCATCGTCTATCGAAACACTGAACCTAGGTCTTTTCAAGGAGATGGGCGCAAGATTCAAGCGAATTGTTTCGTGATGCAAACCAATATAGATCTATTTAACCTTGCATGGTTTGTTTATTACCACGGAACACGAAAAGAAGGTAGCCTCAACGCCGGCCTCGGTTCGCTTCGTTTAAAACTAAAAGAGTCCTTGTTCGACAAGGAAACCGACACAAAAGCATTTGTAGCAGCTTCTCCTGACCAGATTGTCATCGCTTTCAAGGGGACTACCAGCAAGCAAAATATCGTTACTGATGTAAAGGTACTGTATCGATCTTTACCTCAAGTGATTGGCCCGACAAGACGAAAATCCCCTGATGCGGGCGAAGATGACTCCAGGGTATCGGATATCATCCACAGCAGTTCTTTCAAGAGAGCTAAAGTGCATGCTGGATTCGTTGAAGCATACATTTCTGTCAAAGAGAAACTTATGAACGTGACAGAAGCTTTATTGAACGAAAAAGACCGACCAGTATACTTCACGGGTCATAGTCTTGGAGGGGCTTTAGCTACTCTAGCAAGTTTAGATGTCTCTCTCACTTTGGATGTACCCGGAAACAAAATTCTAGTAACCACGTTCGGATCCCCACGAGTTGGTAACAAACTTTTCCAGGAGGTGTACGACTCAGTCATCCCTATGAACTGGAGAGTAGTAGCAGGCGGGGACATAGTTTCAAGACTACCAAAAATTGGATATGAGCATGTTGGGAGGAAAGTAGTCCTTAGCACAAGGGGAGAGCTATTTATTGATCCTAGTGCGCTAGAAGTAATCTTCTGGCATTCACCCCCAGCCTCCATAGTGCATCACAAGAAATCTTGGTACCTGCTTTCGTTGAAGTCGTTTTGCGAGAGCCAAGATAGCGATTATTCTCATAGTTTTTGGCCGTTCCCTGTGTCAGAAAATGATAGTCGACGCTTCAAAATGACGCGACAGAAGCCAACCTCCAGCCAATTGCAACCAATCTCTCGCCTCGAACGCAAATCTAGAGGTGCAGCACGGTATCGTGAATGGGCAGATGCTATTGACGCTCTGGATATTGAAATTCGGGACCATCAGAGTCTTGCAAACTGGCAAAGACTGACTTTGCGAATTCTCGAGAACACGGCCCCAGAAGACATTGCAACCGTCGAATAGCTTTATGATATCGCAGTGAAAAACTTCTCAAGTTTTACATATTAAGCGCTTCTCGAAGAGATTTGTCAATCGAGCGAGAATGTCGTCTTGAGTAGGTTCATCATCGCCGCTATTGTCGTTCTCTATTTTCATGTCTTGTCTGGTATCAGTTTCGGCAACGTAGTCGTATCTGTGCCCTTCTTCGTCCACAAAAACCATCTCTTCAAAAATCTCCTGAACTGAAAGCGTTCCATGTCTCTGTATGTACTCCAATAGTTCTAATTCTAATCCATCAGTAATATGTACTGTGATTTCTGGCATTCCATCGTCCTCAAAACGGCTACCCTCGTCATCAAGTTCTTCAAGATCAAGTGGAATATACACAACTTGCGTTTGCAGACATGCACCTTGACTATCTTGAACTTGACTTGAACGAAAAGTAGAACAGGCTGACTGGACAGTATCTGCTGCCGACATGGCAGGTATGTCTTTCTCAACCACGCAACCAGGAAAAACGAGCATGGCGATTCCTTTTGTATCTAAAAACGCTCGCAAGGCGTCACGCGGCGATTCAACTATTGGTTCTCTGGCTATGTTGAACGACGTGTTGAGGACCATTGGAACACCAGTTAATTCCCAGAACTTTGCAATCATTTGGTAGTACGAAGCACTCCTATCCCGTGTCACTGTCTGGAGACGGGAGGTACCATCGATATGCGCCACGGCCATGGCATCCATTGGTCTTCTACATGTCTTTGTCATTGACATGAAGGGCGAGCAATCTCCCAGGCAGTCTTCAAACCATTCGTTTGCGTGTTCTGCCAACACTGCGGGGGCAAAAGGCCGAAAAGCTTCCCTTTTCTTGACCACTCGGTTAACGTGGTCTCGCACGGAATCCTTCCGTGGATCGGCAAGTATCGAGCGACTCCCTAAAGCCCTCGGACCGAATTCACTCTTCCCATCAAACCATGCCACAACCTTGGACTTCGCCAGAGCCTGTGCGGTCTCTTTTGCAGAATCTGCACGCCTCCATTTGATCCATTTCTCGAAATGGTTGAGAGCCCTTTCGATGCTTTGCGATTTGTATTGGATTCCTTGAGACGCCACCAGGGGGCTCTCCGAGAGCGCCTGTGAGAGATTGTATTTGCTGCCATCAGCAACATTAGCATAGAAACCGAACGCAGAACATCCAACGGCGATGCCTTCATCACCTGGATATGGAGATACCGAGAAATGGTTGATTTCCTTTTTGGAATCTAGGATGCCATTCAAAGTGCTGTTCTGAGCCACACCGCCTGTAAAGATCACATTTTCTTCCTTACTCATCCTTTGTAGATCGAGAACGAACTTAATTACGACGTCTTCGAGATCCTTTTGGATGTGATACGCGAGGTTTTCGAAGTACAGGCGCAGTTCAGGAGAGTTTTCAGCATCAACCCAGCTTCTGCCGACATGGTCAAGGCCCTTGAGCTTACCTTCTTCTACAGAAAGCGTACCATCAAATAAGTCACCTCTGAGAAAAATCCGGTCACCCAGCAAACGAGTTCCCTTTAGCCGTTCTTCAGCGTACGGAGCTAAGCCCATCACCTTGGAACAACACCCGGCGAACAAACAGAACGAATTGAAAACTGTTAGTCAGCAGCTCAAAACAATGACTGTACTGGACTCCACGATCAGAAAAGTGATGACTATTGTCGTTGATGATGACAACGATTTCGTTTATTGACAAGCATTCGATACGTACCTTCCCACACGCATTCCAATCCCGAAAGATAATGGCGGCAACTCTGCTGTAAACAGCTCCTACAGAATCCATTTCCTCAAAAGAATGATTTGGCAGCTCGGGGGGTTCATTCTCAGGGGTCCATCTCTTAAACAACCTTTCCAACTTGACATTACGCCCGTCCTTTGTGAAGCGATAGGCAGTCTCTGCCTCCCTGTACCCCACTCCCCTCGCCTCATGCACATGGGATGGAAACTGTAGGAAGCCAGGCGCGTCGTCGCACACTCTTTCTTCAGAGTAATAACTCTTCTCCCCGTGAAACGCGGCGCGCACCCAGTCGTCGCGGTTGTCGCCCATACCATCCATGACGATGACGATACCTCGAGCAACCGGTGCGGAATACACAGCGGAATATGCATGCGCCAGGTGGTGACTGATCTCAATTTTGGTAGCTTTGGAGGCAAGATTCAGGGGAGCGAGGAGCCTTCCAGCTGGAGTGCCGATAAGGTTCCAGGCGGTGTGCGTGGAAGCGGGGGCATAGTTTAGTGCGATCTGGAGTGGGAGCCTCCTCTCGAAGGGTGCCACACGAAAGTGGTGGTTGTTAGCGACGACGAGTTGTATGCCTTCTGCAAAGGCAGCGACATCGGTGAAAGCGAATTGGTCGGCAAGGGCGGAAAGGCCGCGACGCATAAGCAGAGACACATCACCGCCGTCGTGCTTGCGACGAGTGAGACGCTCCTTCGACATGGCGAAGAGGAGAGAACCCGTGTCAGCGTGGATGATGGCCATGGAAGTGTCGTGGGAGTACTCGTTGAGGCCGATTATCATGGGTGGCGGGGTGCGGGTGGGAGGGGTGAGGGCGGAGATTGGGTTACGGTGGCGTGGAGTGCTACATGGTGGTCGGAGGTGGGGGCGGCGAAAGCGGGAGTGCGGGTGGCGGTGGTGCGGGACGAGCGGGATTCCGGAGGCGAAGAGGAGCATCGGTGAGGGAGGAGGGATGTGAGGACGTTGGGTTGGCGGTTGGATCGCGGATTGGGACGATCTCCTAGCCGGGGATCAACGGATGTGATCCGTTGATGTCGGGTGGCTCGCCCCAACATCCAACAATGCCAATGGAAGGCGATACCGACCGGTAACAGAGAGGTTGGAATGTCATCCGGAGCTTTTTTTTCAATAAAATTACAGCCGATTGCTACGTAAATGTATTTACTGTACCTCCCGTTGCTCTTGCAATATCCAGAGCACCGGTTGTCCATGAAGAAACAACAGTTGAGGCGATTGAGGATTTCCGGGGGTACGGCAGTCTTTTCTTTTGAAACGAGATGCCAATTGATAGTACAGCACATGGAACAGGCCTCAAGGCTTGCAGTTCAACCGTGAGCAACCGGAAGAGGAATCACTTGTCGAATTGTACAGCCGACCACGACGTTGGGAAGGTAAGACGAGCCCGTCTGAGCATGGCTCTTTCCCAAGCTCAGACAAGTCCCGGCCATTCCCTTGTCCCAGTGCTTTTTTTCAAGTTGCGGCTCAACTTACCAAACTGCAGTCCCGAGGCTGATATTTCGAGGAATGTAGGCGTTGCAGAGAGATTTTTGCGGCTCACTTCTAATTAAAAAACTGGCTCTGGTCGGAGGGCGGCCACAGACGAACAGCTTAAGCAGCTGCTTTCGCGGTCTCTTAGAGTAGCACAGTGCAACTGCCCGGGCCACAGGTTCCTTGGCTTTCGTGCAGTCAGACGGCTTTATTTTCCACCAGCACGTTGCATTGTTATCGGGGTTCAATTTTCTAAATAATTAAACCTCTTGCCTCTAAGGACACCACAACATGGGCAGAGTGCTGGTGGAGCACGGTACTTCCTGTTGCTCACCCACGGCTTTCCACTGTAAGGCCAATCGCCGCTCTGCCCGCGAGTTCCGCAACCGAGAAACCAAGTGCATAACCGAAGACCATAAAATACCAGGAAACAACGAAGAAAAGCCCGCCAGCGAGGCGACAATATTTACAGTATTTTGTAGTGTAAGAGAGACAGACTTCGACACCCCGAAATGCCTCTATAAAAATGAAACCAGGGAAAGCCAAAACCGACCTCTTTCCACCCTTCCCGAAGTGCTCATGGCTTCGCAGTGAGGGCAAGGATAGTGAACCTTTGCTCTGTAGGATCTGCCTTCATGAAGCGATCCATGACGATTTTGGCAGAGCTGCGCAAAACGTTTCCCTCCTCGCACGGGCCGCATTCAAAGGGTTTATCTCTACGGCCATCGAGCAACCAGAGTTTGCCCGCCTTGTGTACAAAAGCGACAAAATGCAAATCGACCTTTTCAGTAGGCGAAGGAGCAGCTGTCTGACCCTGTGCCGCAAACTGGCCATGCACGGCATCTAGACTAGCATCCTCCATGAGGGCCTTTGCACGATCGTCCGGAGTCATATCTTTTGTCGCTTCACCGAATCGAGATAGAAAGGAATCAGGCGACGGGGCGGGAGCCAGACGACCCGCGTTGAGCGCGGCATGAATGAGAGCAATGGTGCCGCAGGCATTACCGATCGTCTGGCGGACAAAGTAGGGGGCGTCTGGGGAGTCGGTGAGGGAGGTAGAATCGGCTACCTCCGCGTTGCGGAGCTTGGGCGTGAGAGGGAAGAGAAGGAGGACGGCGTGACAAGGGGCGGGGACCATGTCAAGCAGCTCGAGGCTCCAGACGTCGGAAAACACTAGGTCGGGAGAGACGCCCAGGGCGTGGCCGAAGCCGGTGAGGACTTCCGGATTCGACTCGAGCGGGATCCATTGCTGCGCAGACATAGTGCCAAGGCAGCGAGTCGGGGTTTCCGGAAAGGTTGCGATGGAGGGATCGGTGGACTTGTTGAGGTGAGGTTGATGCGGGGCGGAAGGCGTTTGGATCTGCTCAAGTGCAAGTGTGCTCAAAAGGCGGCGGGTGGGTGGGGTAGTATGGAAAAAGCGGGATGTCGCAAAAGAGAGGGAGGGTTTCACCCTGGAACCGTGGGTTCCACGCGATAGGCGATTCGTGAGGGGCCCATCGGGGGTTTTCGGCTAATATAATCGGTTGAAGTGGGGTGTGATGGAAGGCAAAAGGGTGTGAAAATGGGGGCACGAATCGAGGGTAAGAGCAAAGCAAAAAGTGAGGGGGAAGTGGTCCCCTGGCGGGGCGTGGAGGTGTAGGAGGTGGGCCATCTCGCGATGCCGAAAGCAGGCAGTGAAGTCTCGGACACGTGTTTCAGCGCGGGGTCTTCTCTTGTGTGTCCGTGGCGGGTGCAAGCTGGCGTTGGCCAAGCTATCGTCTTGTTTGGCGGGAGAGGAAATCGAAATTAAAAGGCTAGCTGTAATGCACGCGATGAGAGTTAGGATGCCATTGGGCGAGGTGCTGGCACCGGTGGCTGTGCCACCCCCGCGCCTGCCCCGTTTGGCCGTCGCCTCAAGCGAGGCGGCGTAGCATTCAAAAACTTGCCACAGGATGTGCCAACCGAGTTTCTCCGTTAAATTATCGAGCGTTTGAATGCTTACGTCACATTGCCTCGGATCAACTTTGCCCCCATGCACCCCCCCTTCAACCCCCCCATACACTGCCCCCTCATACATCCACTCCCCAGGTATGCAACCCCCCACCGTTCCGTACCCTATTCATCCCCCATTCGTCCATCCCCCACCCGTCCCTCCCTCCGTCCCTCCCTCCGTCCCGCACCACAACAGACACCGTCAGACACCGTCACATCCCCCTCACAAAACTGCTACTCTCTGTCTCTACCCACCCCCCGACTTCATCCTACCCTCCATCTCTACGCTACATTCCTCCGCCGAAATCCCCACCATGCCCTCCCCTTCTAACCTCCACCCTGCCTCTTCCTCTCGTCTCCGCACCAACCACCGCTTCCGGGAGACCCTCACCCGCCGTCTGTCACGCCTCCGTCCCCACAAACGCACCCCCCAAACCCCTGCCCCCCCACCTGCCGATACCACCCTCGCCCCTCCTGTCTCTCTCCCCACCACCCTCTTCTCCACCCCCACCTCCGACTCCCTGGACCCCTCCACCTCCCTGCTCACCCCCTCCACCGCCGACACCCGCGATGCCTCGCCTCGCATTCCAGTCCCCGACCTCCCCTCCGTCGACCACCAATTCATGTACCACTCCTCCAACAACCTCGACTTTTCCTATGACTCCATGCCCCAACCACCCCCACAACCACAACCACACCCGTCCCCTTCGCCCCGCGCCTCACAGACCTCGCACCGTTTCGCCCGTGCCACCCGCCGCCGCAATAAGCTCCTCGGGCGCAATGCCCCCAAGCCTGAGAAGAACCCCGTACCGATTCTGGAGAGCCCACAACCCGACCCTGCCGCCTTTGTTGAGGAGCCCCGCGCTGATGCCGCTGGCTACGCTCTGGACTCATCCCCGCTCGAGCACTACGAGAGCAAGACCCAACGCTCGGAACGCATCGCTACCGCCCTCGAACGAATCGCCAAGAACGCCGCCTTTTTTGGATTGTCAGCAGAGGAAAACGCCTGCCCGTCAGATACCTCCCCGAAGACAGCTGTTATTCCCCTCATCGTTGATGCCATCACACAGCATGTCAGAGACCCCAAGGTCGCCGATCAAGGCCTCACCACACTGAGGAGGCTCACCGTCGACCCTGTGTGCCGCCGCACCATTGGCGAATGTGGGGGGGTCGAGGCCATTGTCGAAGTAATGAGAGCCCATTCCTTGAGGGTTCGCATTCAGACCCAGGCCTGTCTAGCTTTGGCCAACCTGGCCTACAAGTGCCCCGAGAATAAGAGGGCATTCATGAAGTGTAATGGCTTAGCTGTTATTGTTGCTGCCTTGTCCATTCATAGCAAGGCCGAGCACGTTCAGGCCTGGGGATGCTTTGCAATTCGAAACTTTACGAATGGCGCTATTGAGGGCGAGCAAGATGCGTCTGTCACAGCTGGTGCTGTGGAAGTGCTCGTCACTGCTCTGGAGCAATATCCCAAATCCAATGTAGTGCAGCAACAGTGTATGATCGCCCTGACCAATATTGCAGCTGCGTCCCCGCTCGGAATGGAGCGCCTCCGTTCTGCTGGCGGTGTGCAAGCTGTTATTGCTAGTATGCACAATAACATTCGGTCTTCCCAGCTTTCGGAGATTGCTTTGTCGTGCGCCAAGGTTCTTGTCGAAGAAGAAAGCAACCAGAAGATTTTTGGTCATGATGGAGGGATTGAGGCCATCACCATGGTGCTCGACGAACATAGGGGACATACCGCCATTGCAGTGCGTGGATGCGCGGCTTTCCGACAGCTCGCATTTCAGCGCGAGAATCGCGACCTCTTAGGTCGTTGCGGCAGCATACGTGCAATCATCACCGCCATGATGGATACAGCCTCGTCCAAGGCCGAGACAGCTGCCGTGCTTCTCAAGGCACTCAGTAATTCTACGTACGACTCGCTAGCGAACAAAACGCTCGCCGGAAGACTCGGTGCTGTGGAGGCGGCACTTCATCTGATATCTCCTGATACATTCCAAAGCAATACGGGTGTGGTAGAAGACGCGTGTAGAGTGTTGAGAAATTTGGCCGATGGCGTCCAACTGAATCATCGGCTTCTCATCGAGAAAGGAGGAGTGGTTGCCGTCCTTGAGGCAGCACGCGAACATGGCACCTCATCGGCTGGTGTGGCAGAGCACTGCGTTGCCATTTTTGTGAACCTGTCAGCGAATCAGTCGCTGGCCGAACAGTTAAAAGAAGGCGGCAAGGATTTTGCGGCTATGGCGAGGGAGTTGCAGTTGGCACATCCAGGAAACGACCGCGTATACAAGCAAGTAGCTGATCTTCTTTCAATTCTGGAACCTAAGGTGGACGATGGAGAGCCGGTGAGCACGGAAAGCGTAGAGTGGCGGGAATCGAAGAGTTGCACGTGGAGAGAGACTGCGACTCAGATTTCGTTTGAGGAGAGCCTGCGATCTTCAAAGTCATTGCGAAAGACATTCTCCAAAGAAGGAGAGCAGTTAACTCGCCTACAGCGGCTCCGCTCATTGCCGTTGCCCAAGTCCAAGAAGAGCGCGTTCTAGACGGTGTTCGACGTTTATTCGATATCTGACTAACGTACCTTTAACTTGTTAGACTAATCTGGCATCAATAGAAGTAGTTACGATGCCATCTTGTTTTTTTCTGCGGGTCCCTGGTACAAGGGTCCGTAGACTAGACGACATAATATTTCCGACTTCAAATGTAAATACATGACCTTGAGGCAGAGACGATTTGAATGTTACCAAGGAATCTGTGCCTAAAAGGTGTCAGATGTCTTTGATTGCTCCTCGCATTCCGACTACTGTACAAGAAAATATAGGAATGGCAATCTGATATAGAACACATCCTTGTGGTAATCTATCTGATTTCGATTTTGTGATAAGATCACCGCACAATTGAGCAGTACTATCCCCATTACTTTGTTATCGAGAACAGTAATTTTCAGATACGATACAACTTTCTGGAGCGGACTTTATCCATATGTTAAATAGTAACAGCACAAAGCATTGGCTATTGACGAAGGAAGCTCAACTATACACATTGGAATGGTCACCGCTCTGTGAGTACCCCGCTCAACACGTTCTATTGAGGCTTTAGCAAAACACCAAAAGGAGTTTGCAAGCCCGAGTGGTACCTTGTTTTCTCTCACATACTTCTTGGTCCAGTAGGCTGATTGCGGCTCCTTCCCCTACGCAAAACAAACTCCCCGTCTTGAAAAAGACGAGAAATACCTGGTTGACACGTCAATGGTACACTTGTAGAGACTAAATACTTAGAGGAAGTACTTCAGGCGTCGAGAAGTCGGGGATACGATGGATTTGCATACTCGAAGGAGAAGTTTAGCGTTTACGTAATCTCCTTAAGAGATAAATGACTGTTTCAAACCGGAAGCTCGGGTAGCAAATTTGACATTGGCGCGATGTTCACATCGAACTTGAAATGCATTTTCAACGTTTGGGTATTTGAACGTCGTTCACGCTTGCTGCGTATGCTAGGTTCTACAGGATATCCATAACATGAAACTCCTCCTCATTCCTCACAGCCACAGGGCTGCTCCTACTTCTAGCCTTCCCTGCGTTTCTCAACCGCAACCTGCGGGCCTCCGAAAGCGAACGGGGCTGAAAGCATCCAGAAATTGGTTCTCGTTTAAGTAATTGCTCTGTCCCTTCTTGACATATTTCCATGTCATCAAACAATCTCTCGAGATTGAAGTGTACGCCGCGGCCATGGCCGATCTTCACCTCGCGCCGCCTGTGTGAATCAATTTTCATTCTCTCTCCACGGGGCTTCAAAGGCTACGAGGATGAAACCTATTCTGTCAGAAGCAGCAGAATGATTTCAAAGGCGTTATGACCGAACTCAGATAATCAGACTTACCAACGTAGCCTGGCATGAACTATCTTCAACGGTACACATATTGCTATGGACTTTCAGAGCTGCAACAGGTTGGGTCAGTAGGATACGGATAGTACCGGGTTGGAGATGAGATGGAGTAGCTCTGCCAGTTGCAGTGAAGTGAGAGACTGTCAATGTACTAAACGGGGTAGAACAGTTTGAATCTTCATAGACCAGTATTCCTCTTGGCGTATGTCAACTGAAGGACTGGTATCTTCTTCCTGAGGGCGTTGCTCCACGCATTAGCTTCACTACATCCCAACGGATTCTTTAAGTGGAAAGGCTTCAGACATGTCTGTCTTTCCGTGTCCGGGGGGACCACAGCGGTTTGCTTCCCCTTGCGTACCGCATACATTACTGCAAAAAAAAAAAAAAAAAAGCGAGGACGTCATTGCTACATTGGCAGTCTGCAGGCCGCCGGACAGATAATTTTACACCTGCATACGCTAGGATTCGATAAGAACCTTCAGGATAGAAAACTGTCCCTCCACTTCATTCTGTCTCATCTTCTTTCGAATATTCCGATTTTGAGCTACTGTTTTCGTTGCATTGGGCTGACTGCCTTGTGTTGGAACGCAGCGTGAGCTGGGAAAAGATGGCCGTCTATTCATTCCAGCCAAGAAGTCTGAGGAAAGAAAATTTTCTCTCTGGGAAGTGTCAAACAAAAGCACTGATGGGCTTCGCTATCATGTCTTTTTATAACTCATAGCGTACTTCGAGCTCTACGAGGGCTTATGGCTTTTGCCACAACCTAGAAAAAGCCCCTGTCTACGTGACCCACACGCACCAGAAAAAGATTATAAGTTAGAGCCCGCACTTGTTGCAGCCGCTGCCAACTGCCAGCTGCACCGCACAGGGCAGTTTCTGACTGCATTTTTTTTGTTGCGCTATCCCTGTGCTCCTTTTTTGTGACGGCTATTTTTTGCCCCAGTCGGGTATTTTCCTCCTGCTTCGGTCTTGTTGAGCGCTACGTCCCGAGAGTAGGTTCGTTGAACGCAGAATTGTGTTGTCGTTAAGAAGATATACGTTTTGTCTCCAGGAGACCCGTACTTTTCGAGTAGTGTCCTCCCGAAAAGTGTGGCGTGGTCCTATTTATGATCGGGGCATAAACTTCACAAAAAGCACACAAACGTCTCAAAGTTCTCACAAGTTTTGTGAATCTCGCTTTGTTTTTGTGAACCTCACTTCATTTTTGTGACGTCAACATCTCGAAGTGCTCTTTTGTTGACTGTTTTGTGATTCACACACAAATTTTTTTGTGACTCTCACACCATTGTCTCACAATCATCTCCGACATCAACAAACCATCACAAACCCATCTAAAAATCATAGCTGATGGCCTTGTTCTACAGACATTAACGGCCTTCACTCTGGGGCTTGTGAGGCCTGCCTTATTCGTTGAGGAGTGCGTCGCTCAGAGTCAAACTCCCTCTCATGGGCAGGAGACGGCCCATGTCGCTTCAGTGTAGGGCGAGAATGCCAGACCGTCCAGCAGCTGCAGCAGATAGCCTGTCTACATGTAGAACACCACTGCACCTGGCGTGAGCCCTTTCTAAGTGTCTTGGGTCGCCCGTCTTTTGTCCCTCTTTTGACCCAACTACATAGTACGCAGTAGGTTGGGGTCCCACTGACCTTCTCGTGCAGTAAATTCCGGTTCAACCTACGCAGTTGCGAACACGAAGGGAAGGGGAAGTGTCTCTGAAAACTAGCCGTAGAGGGCTGGAAAGGGAAATTTTTTGTATGACGTTGTTCAGTTTGTTTGCCTTTTGAGATGGAGAGCCTTTTATATGTGATCTTTGTGATGCCCTCACACAAAGCCGTCACAAAATGCACACTGCCATCACAAAATGCACACTGCCATCACAAAATGCACACTGTCAGTGTGAGAGTTTTGATTTTAAGGTTGACGTTTGAGAGTTTTGAGATGCATCTCACAAAACCATCACAAAAGATTCACGAAAATGTGTGATGTTTGAGACGATTTTTGTGATGATCACAAAATGTTCTCAAAAAGTGCTACAATTCAACAAATATTCACAAACCATGTGTGACGAATGAGAAGATGGAGTGAGACGAATGTGAGATGACGGCGGCGAAAAGAGCAAAACTCTCACAAATCGTCACACAAATCGTCTCACTTTTTGTGACGCCCTAAATCGTCACAAACCGGAGCACAGGGCTATTGTACTCGCATGGCAACGTGTACATACTGTACGATACGTGTAGGAGCCCTTAATTCTTCATCCTTCGACTTTCTAAAGTTTATGCACCTACTACCAAGGGTAGAGTCCATCCATACTATCGTTCATCCTTCCGAATTCAATTATGCCTCGCCGAAAACCTACTTTCTGACTCTTTCAGTGAGCCAACATGGAACAGGCGATCACCGTCCGACTGCTGGTAGTGGGGGATGACAACGTCGGCAAAACGGTAAGCGGTACAAGTTGCATTGCGCTGTTTCGGTCTCCTCACACGATAATCGGACTCAAAGGCTAACTTCCTCTATCTATGACGAGACATCAGACTCTAGTACAAGCGCTCTGCGGCGCCTCATCGCACTCAATTGGCAAGACGACGGCGGGCTGTGCAGTGTCGGTCCGTCTAGCAAATGACAGCAAGCACGTGGAAGAGTTCTACGACGTAGCAGGAGCTCCTCGGTACAGACACGGTCGTCAGGTTTTCTTCTCGCACAAGCGTTACGATGGTGTGATTTTTGTCTACGACGTAACCGACCGGAGCACTCGCTCTTCAATAAGCTGTACGTGGGTCCCGGAGGTGATGACGCATCTGGGTGATGTGGGTGCCATCGAAGCTGGTGGGAGGGGCGATGGCGAAGAGGCGCACGTGCGTAGCGCTGGCGTTATCAACGAACTGCGTTTCTTGTGGAGGCAAGTGTTTTTTACGCACAGCCGCGTTTCTTCCGCGCAGGCTATCAAGGAGGGTGTCAGGCTTTCATGGAGACTCATGCGTCTTTGGATGAACGAGATGGGGCTCTGGCCAGACTCGTCGCTCGATGAGGAGGCGGAAAGGGTCTATTTAGCTACGAGTTTGGTTCCTTGCGCGATTGTCGGAATGAAAAGCGATCTTGTGGATAGACCAGAAACGCGGGATGGAGAAATCCAGAATCGCCCAAAGGGCGTACCCGATGTCAGACTGTATGCTAACAGCGTGGCGCACGATGCCAAACTATCCGCATTCCTTCGACGAGTTGCTGAATCTGCCAAACGGAAGGCGGCCACGCCCATCAAGTCGAGCCGTCGGACAGCCTCTGGACAACTGCTTGGCTTTGCATGACCAGTGTATGCCCCTGGAACTAGGTTCTTTACATATTCACCTTTCCTCATGTACATAAATGTGTCAGGGCGTTAGTAGTAAGCTTGCGATGAGGCAGCGTGTAGTTGTCTATTATTTAGCACTTGCAGCTGTTGTCAGAAGCTGTTTCCTTATCGTGACCCGTTTTCAGCACTGGCCATTTGCGCGAGGAACTCTTCTGAAGTTAGTAGTTCGGTGGTGCCGTACAGAACATTCTTTGGGCTTACTGCCGAGGACCTGGATTCCACAATCTCCACGCAATTTTCGTACTCAACGTAATTGCCCCCACCAACCGTGAAAACAATCGCATCTGAAAACACCATGCGCTCCATTTTCTGCTTGGAAGTGAGCCTCATTGCCTGGTCTGTATTCCCGCTACTCAGCGTCGGCTCACTAGCGCCGAACATGCTCCCCGCAGTCTCCATGACCTTGGGATCAAACAGGAGATATCCTTCAAGAATGTCATTCGCAGAGGTGCCGTGCCTTGACCGTGCTTGTTCGCTCATAAATATTTCAAGGGTTCGCGAAACTGCAAAAGTTTTCTTCTCCTCCACAACGAGATTCTTTGCATTTTGAGCGACATTCGCAAAGCTCCTGTAGCCTCGACTAACAACGCTTGTCATGATTCCCTTCAACTTCGCCGTGTTTATCGTACCTGTGCGGCGAGGAACTGGGGCGGTCATCAAGTCGTGCCGATACCCCTTCATTCGCCCAACATACTCTATAATAGAGGAGTCGACCCCAGCATTGTGCAATATACCTCGAAACTCTGCCACCGTCTTTTCAGGCAATTGCCTTCCGAAAACACTGTAGTATATGAGGAAAAGACGTAGGCGGTCCTCAGGTGTGCCTCTGCCTCTTTTTTCTCCTGCGGCGGTCTCCTGGACACCTTTTAAGAGCTCGACGAGCGGAATTTTGTAGTCCTCTGCCGAAAGAGCCGTTGCCGGGCGATGGGTGTTGGTCATGATTTGAGATTCCAGCTCAAAAAAACTGTCCAGACTTCTTTGGTTGATATTTTCAAGTAGAGCTGTGGCGATGTTAGTGTGTACGTCGATTGTTTCTTTCCGTCGAGACAATTCAGGTAACGAGGCAATGGTTGCTGCCAATCCTGACGTTTCGAAGACAGAGGCTTTGGCGGATTGATTCCTACCCCCAGCATTCCTGTTGATCTCCTCCACCTCCTCTCGATATTTGGCAAGAGCCTTTTCGATGGCATCTGCGACCTGCGGAAACGGAGACGCGGCATTCTCTGCCCAGAATGTGTCGAGCTCCTTGTTCATAGTGTACTGCTTCCGCTTTGTAGTGTTCCTTGGCTTGCTGTCACTTACATTCACGAACACATTGTTCAACTTCAATCCAAGACAGTCATGGACAAGAGCTTGATAGGTCCATGTGTGATGTAACATGGAATTAAAATCAAAGTCACGGTCCAGCATGAGAAGCAAAGGGCGTCTGAAAGAAAGCGCTCGGCTTGCAAACGAGGACCTCTGAAACAGTTTCAAATTATCACGCAACTTCTTATCAAGTGCGGAAGCGACAGCTTCTGCCGCACCACCGCGCTGGGCGCGAATAATCGGGATGGCGCCCAGCGTAAGTAACACGGATAGCAACCTTGAGACAACGACATCCACAAAAGACTTCACAGCGCTTTCGCTTTTTGCGCTCTTCATGGCAAGGTATGAGTTGGGTATGTTGAGCGAGAATAGGTTTTGTTCATAGCTGACAAAGTCAGCGTAGAGGTCCTTAACAAGGGTAACGGGAGCCGGGATGGTCATTTGTGCTGCAAGGGCCATTAATAGGGGCCTCGTGACAAACGAAGTAAAGCAAACCGTCGCGGTATTATAGAGCTGGTTTCTTGGAGCGAGATCTTTGAGGAGCCAGGCTATGTTCTCTGGGGTGGGCGCAATTACATAAAGAGCCGGTACATCGGGAACTGGGCCGCGCGGGTTGTCAATCTGAGTGTGCAAAGTAACACCATGTCGACGCAGCTGTGTGGGCTGGAACAGGCAGGAGAGAGAGTCTTGTGCCGCGGCATCGCAAACGAGAACCTTCCACTCCCTCACCTTTTTATCCGAATTAGAAGTGGACATAACTGATTCGAAAACAGCCCGCTGCCGATTTTTGAGGCCGAAGACGGAGGCTGATGTCGCCATCTTTCAATGCAAGAGGCGACCAGACGTTCACTTCTTCAATTCGCAACCGCGTCGCACACGTACTACTCAGCGAGGGGCGCGGAATCGATACTTTTCACCACTGAAGCCCAGGGCTTCAAGGAGAAGTATGGCAGTAGCAAACGATTCGATCCTCTCCTGGTAACAACATGCAGTACGCCGAGGCGGGATAAGGCCCGGAGTGCTCCGAAAGTCAGAATTCCGATATCTCACGACGTTTTGTTCGTAGGTACAGTATACTGGGTGTATCATCAGGGCAGGATAGCTGATGCACACGTGTACTATTTCCTTCTTGCGTCACGAGCCAAGTGGATCTGTTTAATTTGCGGCCCTTGCCTCTACGATAGAATTTCCCATAGACGCCTGCAGAACCCACCATTCGTGTTGTCAAGAACAGAACCCGCCATTCGTGTTGTCAAGAACAGAACCCGCCATTCGTGTTGTCAAGAACAGACAGGTTCTACAGGCGTCCATGGGAAATTCTATCCTAGTCTGACATCAGACTCTCAGAGCAGACATTTGGGAAACAATCGCGCCGAGACATAGAATACATGTGCAGATCGAGCGCAAGCACAACATCAAATTAAAGTAGTATTAGCGCTCAGACCTTCTCACAAAGTTGACGTGCGTGAATTTAGTGTTGGCAAGGACATCTACGATCTACTGGACAACAAGACCTGCCGAATGACCGTTGCCGCTTTTTGCAACTCTCGCTCTGAGTGAACCACGGAAACTGTCACTCGCACGCACGGCTTTGGCGGGTTGACCTCAGACTGTGCGTAAACTGGTCTAGCGATCAAAACGTCGTTATCCAGACACTTCTTTTGCAGTGTTGTGAAGGTAGCTAGCGGCAACGTATCGTCATAAGCCCGAATGTGCAAGAGGGGGGACAATTGATGGCCGTCCACGTACCAGCCAGCTTGCTTGAGCGAGTGAATGTTAAGCTGTTTCCGGAATGTATCTACGTTATCGCGCAATCGCGACACAAACGTCTCGCCTCGTTCTGAAACAATATCCAGAGCGACGGATGCGGCCATGGCAAGAAAGGGAGGTTGCGAAGCGGAGAAACAATATCCTGCCCCGGAAAGGCGCTGATGTTTGACTACATCCTCGCTTCCCACACAAAAACCCCCTACCGATGCGATTGCATTTCCTAGATCTGCCGTGGCAATATCAACGAGCTCGCGTTTGATGCCAAAGTGCTCGAGGGCACCGCGTCCTGTTTTGCCCAGCACACCCAGCGAGAAGGACTCGTCCAGCATCACGCGGAAAAGATACTTCTCCTTGAGAGCGACGACTTCGTCTAGTGGACATAGGTCCCCGACGTTCTGATAGATGCCTTCGACAATGATGATGCGACGCTGAATCTTCCTCCGCCCTGGGTCCGCGACGTCACCGTCCGTGACTTCTTTCAAAATACGTTCCAGATCAGCCATATCATTGTGCTTGAAACGAATCGCCTCCGCGCGACTGAGCTTCACGCCTAGCTGCAACGAGTAGTTCAAAGAATCGTCACAGACAACCAGGTCGCCACGCTTGCAGAACGCGGGGATAGTTGAATTGCCCGTGGCCGACCCGAAGGAATATAAGATGGCCGTCTCTGTTCCCGAAAACGCCGCTATTTTCTCCTCACACTCCAGATGTATGTCTGTAGTACCATAGAACCCTCGCGGGCCACAAGCCCCGCACCCATATTCTTTCATAGTTGCAAGACATTTTTCCTCCACTGTGGGATCCTTCAACAACCCAAGAAAATTGCAAGTCGCCATATCTGTTACGTTATCCTTGCCGTTAACTCGGAAATTTCCGAATGCATCGTGATATGTAGTCAAATCGAGAGGGAGAGCATCTTTTTCTTGTTGAGATAAAGGCGCGGCGAGCGGTGCTGGCTTCCAAGCCGCGAGCTTTTCGGCGACTTGAGCATCCGTCAACTGGGCCGGAGCTGCTCGATTCCATGGCTCATATGCCCGTGTGAGAGCCAAGTAGATAACGAGCGAGAGAAAGGCGAATTCGATGGCGTGGTAGTAAATGTCAGCAGGAGAGAGATTCAGAGACGTGGCCAACATGTGACGCAGCTCTTGCACTGGGTGCAATAGTGCTCTCGCAGACATTGTGCGTAACGAGAACCCAGAACCGCTTTGATGCTGGGGATGGGACAGTTAGGAGGGTATTTGTGCCAGTCTGTGAAGGGAGCGTGCGCGGCGATGAGATGAGTTGTGTCTTTTGAGTTCCTGCAAGCACATCAGGCGTGTCCCGAATAGGAACAACCCTCTCTTGGAAGGCACTGAAATTATGGCTACGTTTCTTATTCGACATGGCGTGCTTCCAACATCGCTGGCTTCTATACTGTAATTGGGAAACTGCTGAGCCAATAGAATAATATGAACAATTCTGGTGGGAAATCGATTTTTCTCCAGCATAAGCCCCAGCAAGTTGTGAGGCGATGTGCGGTCGTGGACATGCTCCAGTTTGGAATTAGAAGAAAGGTTGAATCCTTTCTCTCTTGCATTTTGGGGAAAACCCCTTCCCCAACCTATACTGCCTACGGAGCACTTTTCATCCAGATCAATTGTCAGCATTTCGACCATACTTGCAAGTCCGTTATCGCATACGAACTCTGAGCAAATTGCAACGCCAATGTCAACCCATTCTTCCCAAACTTTAAATTGTTAATAAAACTACACTCTAACTTTTTAACCAAGACTTGTTTTTTTTTAAATGCAAACTCTCTAGCTCATTGATGTATCTTGCCTTCTTCATACCCTATCCTCCTATGTCCTCCACTCCATATTGCCTCCGCCAGTTTTCCAACTACTCTACAAGTGTATAGGATCCTGTTGATTCTGACATTTTTGGTTGCCTTTTCTCATGTGGCTGATATGAGCTCAGATGATGACTACTATGACATTCATGACACGCCGTACGATCGTCGTCGCTCGTCACATCGTCCCCGTCGAAGAGGATCGGCTCAGTCGCGTCGTCATCGCAAATTTGATGACGGGTACCGTGCAAGAGCATCTCGTCGTGTTAAAGCTTGGTACTTTCAAGACAGACCCAGGGTTATGGCTGCCTTCATGTTTTTTTTTCTCTTGGGCTATGAAGTTCTAATACTGAAGGGTCCTCTCACTATAGCGGGAAAAGAGCGTCCTGCAAATTACCCTTCGTCGAGACCTGTCGGTCTAACGTCTGCGGAAAGGTCTACTACCACTTCTCAACAAATCCCACTCGAACACAATCCTTTAAACCCTAATACTCAGCCCAGCAGAAAACACAACGACCGTGTCGTGAAAACTAGCGAGAAAAAAATTGACCAGCACCCCCCAATATCCTTGGACGGTGGGAAGACTATTGCAGAAAGAGTGGAGGCAGCTTCAAAGCCAAAATATTCTAAACCGACTGCGGATTCACCACCATATCGGCCTTTGAAAAAACACCGAAGAACAGGTGAGAAAAGAGACTCTGTTAAAGTGCTAAAAGCGAAAGAACCCCGCCCTGCGTCCGCATTACTATTGGAGACGAGACCTGCAGATGCAGATGACGAGGGCGACCCAGAGGATCCAGACGTATCTCCAAAAAAGGCCTCATCTCGTGGTACGGAATCCTCTCGTCCTTCTAGACGCGATAATAACGCGAGGAAGCGAGACTCAGACGAAGACGTTGATTTGAATCCCCCAACTGCTCGGAAACATTCTAAGCTTGGCGAAGGAGGTGCAGAACCAGGTGCAGGGGAAAATTTCTGGCAATGGTTTCAAGAAACGAAAGGAAGTGAGAAGGGGCCTGTCAGTGGCAGCATCAGCTGTCCAGAGGAGACTGAGAGGCTTTGTCAAATGACCTACAAATATTTACGCAAGTACAAGATCAGGACCATTTTTGATGCGTCATGCGCGAATAACGGGGACTGGATGCCAGAGGTTCTTCGGAAATCTGGGAACGAGCTCTGGGGATTCAAATATTATTGCAGTGTGCCGAAAGATGAACAACTGGACTATGTGAAAGAGAAATTTGCCTCTCTCAACTTCGTCGAATATGCCCCAGATGTGTGGTGGAGAGATGGATATCCAGACGACACAGAGCTTCTTTTTGCGTGGGACACATTACCGCATATTGCCTACGGCCGTGTTTGGAATTTCTTTGTGAAGGCAAAAAAACAGGAAATCAAGTACATATTGGTTGACAATTACCCTGGAATGACGAACGATCCCGTACGTCGTTGCCGCGCATCCCTTCCGTGTATGAAGCTTTGAGCACAGCGAAAATGCACAAATTCTTGGACTAACTGATTTTCTTTTCGCTCTTTTCGTGTTCCTTTTTTCCTGGGCCGGCTACGAATACGATTCTGCAGTCTCCAAAACGAGATTACATTAACCTTCGCAAACATCCGTTCCGATTTCCTGCAGCGAAGGAAGTTGTGCAAAATGTGACGGAACCAGGAGAAAACGCTAAACGGCAACTGCTATTTTACGAGGGGAGCATGTTACCAGACAACTTGCAGTAGCAGGGGCTTCGTGTAAAACACTCATCTTTAACCGAACAGAATCATGCCTTTCTCAAGTTGTGCGTTCACCGTCTAGTAAGTACTCTTAATGATAGATGAAGTGCCCTGCACACCAGCGTCTTTTTCTTCACATGGTGCAGCTCCAATCTGAGCAGCTTCTGTGTTGTACGCGCCGTGCTCCATGAACAGAAATTGCGACAGAGCAGAAAGGCTCTGTATCGAGGGAATCGTTTGCTGTCGTAGCTTTGTGAGACTTTCCTCTTCCTTCCGTCTTCGCGCTGATGACATTGAATTATCCAAGCCGGTATCAGGGGTGACTACATAATCAAGCTGGAACCTGTCCTCTCCCAAAGAAAAGACCCATTCAAAGATTGCCCGTGTTCGCGGCATGTGAAACGCGCTAGTGATTATGCAACAACGTAGCAACGCCATCGGTTGGCATATCATGTTGCGTGCGAAAAATGCGTTGCCAATTGTGTCCAGGGACCAGCCGTCAAGAAGAATCCGCTTGGGATTGTCCAAGCCGTTGTCGAGGAGATATTTCGCACTGGCTGCAGACTCGAGGATGGGAAAACCTCTCCCATTAACGGGTGGCGAACGATGAGTCGTTCCGCGTGAAAGAGCAACAAAATACTTTGTACGAGAGGATAGTCTTAGTGCGGCATTCAAGCGAGACCGTACCCATGGTTGCGGCAAGCCGGTGTCGGATTCAAGACCACCACCTGGAATTATAATTGCATCGAATGTTTTGGTCATTGCCTTCTCTTCTGAAAGTGCTCTTTCCATGCTCTGTTGATCAGAAAATGTGGACCTGCGAAGACTTGCTTGTACTTTGCCCGAGTCGAGTGTGTCGTCAGTGCTTTGCTTATCAGGCGGAAGACGAGGACTTCGGTAAGAGCGGTTTCATCATCGAGTGAGCCGTACCCCATCATTGGGCAAGCGAAGCCATGATTGGATATTGAAGACGAGTTTCGAGATCGTTGGGTTAGATAGTGGTTACTTTCAGTTCGGACGATATCTCTATCGAACATTACAAAATTTCCGACATTCAAGCACTTCCCCCCGTGAAGGAGAGCTGGAATGAGGACTGGATTTGATGTGCCGCTTTGCTGTACGGCAGTGTCAGAATGAAGCATTACACCGATGGCCACTTCGGCAGGAAAGCAAAGGAAAAATGATTGGTGTTTCTCGTCGCGCCCTGTGCTCGTTCTTCACAACGTTTTCGTCGTGTTTCTTTTCCCATCCTCTTCGTAAAGTTGCAAGCAACTGGGTCTCCCTCCCTACGCGTGGGGCACAACCCCAACGTGTCAGTACATTATCTTTAGAGTGTAAATGCAAAGGCAATGAACGTTGCGACTGGGATTGAATGGAATTCTCGAAGGCCTCCAGTTGTTTTATGCGATCCGGAACCAAGGTACGGAAGTTATTGAAACTCGCATCGCATTGTTGGAGTGACAGCTAGCAGAACTGACCTCTCCAGAACATGCAAAATACTCTCTCGTTGGATAACCCTGGAAGCAAAAGTATATGTATAAAACCTTTAAGAAGTAGTTTGCGTTTGAAAATCCACTACGCCATGTGCAAACACGCACATGGGTTGCTACACAGATAGATCAAACTGAGTTGCCAACTGCGACGGTTTAAATTGATCAGGGTCCGGCCGATAAGCGTCATCAAGGTAGTAGTCCTCCATAGTTGCCTTGATACCCATATCCTTTAAGTAGGCCTTTATCCAACCGGAAGGTTTTGGGGAAATCTCTTCGCGTTGCTCTTCGCCGATTAGTTGCGCTGCTTGTAAGGTGACAGGATCAAATGAGTATATCGTGAGCGATGCGCGAGATTCATCCTGCCACGAGGAGCCGGGCCCACCGTCAAACTCCTCAATTCGGAACCCAGAGATCCACCCGAGTTCCACGAGCTCATGGAGGAGGTCCTCAATATTTCTTATCCACCGTTCTGAATTTAGCTTCGCCTCTTCCTTTGTTTGTCGGAAAGGAGTCGTCTTTAATTTTTGCATTGTGCTCCTTGCGAGTTGATCAGCAAACTCTATTCTTGATTTAGGTGATGTCTTTTGGGAGATTACATGCAACCGCGAGTATAGAACAAAATTCAGCCATGACGCATTTGAAAGGTCTTCTGCTACTGACATGTTATCAAAGAAAAGATTGTATGCCCTGCCCTTGACACTTTGTTCTTCTCGTCGCAACTCATCTGCCGAAATCAAGTTCAACCTGACAGCCACTTCCTCAACCGCGGCGAAATATGATTTCGCAAACGCAACGTTCAGAGGCTTCCGTCGTTCCTCAGGGGTCTTTTCTGCTGGAAAAAATCTCGGAAACCTTTTAGTGAAGCGCGTGTATATCCTACTCTCAATATCTTCACCGATGATAAAGCGATAGCCTGCGACAGCGGTAACCACAGATGTCACCGAGATACCTGCCATAAAAACTCTTCGCGAGAACTCGGGGTCCTCATCCTCCTCGTTTATGTCATCGTCATTCGACGAATTAGATGCACATCGTGTCGGTCGTGGTCGTCGCCTGCTCGAACTTGCCGCTTTGCTCGTGCAGACCGAAGGAACCAACTTTTTTTTGCCCATCTGCGGGAGAGAGGGGGCACATTGCACAAAACTTATTCCAGTGGTGGATTGTGCCTGATGCTTCGCGTTGCAGTAACTGACCTCGCGCATGGCGTTCGGGTCTATAAACTTCAGGGAAAGCACCACAATTTGGATGGGTTGCGAAATCTCCAGTGTGCTCGAGATGTACTTTGTGATAGCTATGCTGTGTGGCTATTGTAGTGGCTATTGTAGCCGGTTTATTGGGGAAAAAATCGAGTGAGCTGCATGCATGCTTAAAAATCGCCCAACACACGCATCCATGTGGTAACGGTACCCTTGTACAGTATGCACGCACAGTATTCCGAAATTTTCAGATTTGGCGCAGTGTCTCTGAATGTCTCTGAACTGGGCAGTCACTGCACAGGAGGAATGATTGTACAGACTCTGTAGCAAGGCAATCTTGGACATCGGTATGTCTAGCTTCATGCGACATCGGGCGGCTCGCATCTGGAAAGAAATACTTCGCAGATGGTCTCTCCCGAGCGAAAACAGTTGCATGTCCTCATTCAAGATACGATAGCCATTATGTGACTAGCACCCAGATGTAGAAGGATTTGCTTTTTGCTATCATTTTTCGTCCAGGGGGGTCGCCCGACTCTCAGATTTGGGTGATACCATGACTCGAGTCTCTACGTGTGGTTCCGCCCCGAAGTTTGAAGATATCAGAACGAACAGGATTGTACACCAAAAGGAGGCGGAGAAGGCAAACCTCTTATCTGCAACCATTCTCTGCCAACATATGCATATCGGATGTTAGACTGGCCCTCCTACGAATCTACATAGCCTTTCCCTCGCGTTCGTGGAAGCAGATGCAGAGTACAACCTCTTCATGGTAGGCACTTGTTTGTTGACTTTTGAACTCCTTCGTGATAGAAAAGAAGAGTCTTTCAGGCTTTTTCTACTAGCACTCGCACAAGCGTGTACACCCACCCTCGATTAGGAAGAGCACTGTTTTGCCGAGGTCTATCACATGACCAAGCGCTTTTGCATTCGTCAGTGTACAACATAATAAATAGTTATGAAAGTCATACTTTCAAGCTGTGCATGCCGGTAGGCACACACTCTTACATAATGAAGAGAAGCAGCACCTTGAACCTGATGCTGCATCTATCACCTAGATTTCTATCCTACCGAAGGTCTTCGATTAATTTCGTTGCAAAAATCTTCGAGGCAACATGGCAAAGACCGTGCGTGTCTTCATACTCATACGGGACGACGCAACAATCGATTTCAACTTCCGGATTCAGTAGAGTTTGAAACAATTTGAGCAATCGCCGTCGCTTGTCAACGTTCTTCGCGAGATCAGCAGCTGGAAACGCACCGAAAAAAGAGGACCCTTCCTCCCCTTCGATCCATACATCGAGCCTCCTCCCGGCTCGGTCTTCCATATTAAGGCAAACACAGTACGCCCACTGCATCTCGGCCCTTTGCACCTTGTGCAGGACACGTGCGCACTTGACGCATTCTACAGCTCTCAGATTTCCATGTACTTTCATGAACACCTTACAACGGGCGCACCATGGCCGACAGAGCTGACGTGTATCACGTGGAACAGAGCAAGCTCGGGCTCGAGCTCGGATACGATGCGGATGGAGTTTCCTCTTGGAAACGGCCTCTCGAAGGCCCGCTATGGAAGATAATTGCATCTCAATACTTGGACGAGAGCAAACCGTTGATTGTTTGGCGAAGGAATCAGGATGCGGGGGCCTAATGGCTTGCGGTTGTGTGGCAGGTTGCGCAGAGCTATCTAGTCGCTTCCGTCGTTTGCTGGCCCCAGACCCATTTCCATTTTCATGGTTAAGTGCACAGCTTTCACGGGGCAAATCGGGAACATGGCGCTCTTGTACCGTTGCGTGTTCCCGGAGATGAGATGCCACTGGAGCATCGTTTGACACTACTCGCAACCCGCCAAGTTTCTCCCGGAAAGTCCCAACCAAAGGAGCATTAGCCGATTGCCACACCAGCGTCGATGTTTTCCGTCCTACCTGCAACACAGCAACACGTTGAGACCCCTCGGTCTGAATTCTGATGTCCCTGATGAGCAACCAAACAGATGAACCTGTCGGTCGCGATTGCCACGTCGGACAAAACTCCGCAAACTGCGATGCAGGATCATGTTCAAGCTGGTCCATTGAATTTTCGCTCTCAACACGCATCTGCAGCCCACTCTGTCCCGCGTTGAAGAAGGCATCCGACACGACAAACTTGAGAGTACCTCCCACATTCCGAATCCGAGTGTCTTCCTTCATGCAGCAGAGCAAGTCGAAACTTTTCGTGAGAAAATCAGTACTCGGCAAGGCCTGCACCACTTCAGCGACCGTACGCAGATACCGCTTAGTCATGCGGTGCTTCTTGAATAGATAACTCCTGCTCCAATTGCGCAGCGACGTGATGAGATCGCGATCCTGGTCCGTAATGCTATGCGTAACCACTTCGTCCTGATCGCCACCATCCGAGGAAGGGCGCAAATGCTGTCTCGATGCGACTGGCGTAAAGTCCGTGCCCTCATGGCTCCAGAGTAAAAGCGTCGAGTAGAACCTTGCCACGGCTTGGACGGTACTCACGCCAGTAGTGCCGTCCGCATACCTCCCGGCATGGACTCTATGAGCGCGGATGACATCCCCTACAGCTCGAAACGGTATGCCATTCTCCGGCTTGCGCTCGAAACAAAACACAACCATTGTGCGCAACTCGCCGTGCAGCAGCGAGGTATGATCCGCAACGACGACTTCCGAGCGCAAATCCGGCCCACGCGTGGTGCAGGGCGCCCGGCAGTCGATGACGACGCCGTAAAAGTCGAATTTCTCGCCTCGGGTTGGGACGGTAGTTGAGCCTTCGGTGGCGTCCCACATGTCAGCTATGGAGGAGTAGGTGTACTGTCTTGCCCTACCCCCCGTGGACACCCTCCTTCGGGGTGCTCGCGCGGGTGGAGAGGTTTGGAGGGGGGGCACCGTAAGAGAATTCTGGGATAGGTTGTCATACGGCAGAGTGCAGAACGAGGCCATGTTGTTGGGAAGGAGCACAGTGATCTTGGGCTGTATAGACAACCTGGAATTGGGAATGCCATCCTGCAACTCAAGTTGGAACGAGTGAACGTCAGCATCTGTGCTGAAAGCGACATGTGGGGCCTCTATTTCAAGGACGATATCCTTGCGAAGGGCGGTGCAGGCTGGGCGCCAGCGGCCATGCAGGAAGACGTCGATAACATGGTCGGAGGCGTCCGGGGAGGCGGGGTGTTGGAGTGAGGTGAGGCGGAGGCTATGGAGGTGGCGACGGTGGTCGCGGAAGACGAAGAGGACGCGACCTTGGACGCAGAATGAGGAGTGGTTCAGGATGCGACTGACGGAGCCTATGTGGACGAGGGAAGGCCTGTTTTGGTGTGTGAGGGAGCGGGACGGCATGGTGCGCAAAGAATGGCGGAGGAGGTCGCCGAAGGAGCGTTACATCTGCTGGGAGGAGCGGGAGTACGGGAGCAGGGTAGAGGCGTACCGTAGGGTGGCGGGGAAGGAATAGACCGAGGGATTACAGTATACGGTTTTTACTAGCCAGATTCAGGTTAGTTTGGGTGCAAGATGACAGTGCAAATTAATCCCTTGTTCGAAACCGGGCAAATTTGATGTTTATTTCAGTCGCTTTTGTCAACTTTCTAACAAATAAACGGCTGATGGGCCATGGTTTCGCTGCACTCCAGGCACGGGTTCTGTTTAAATCCTCCCCTGGACAGCTCCGATCGGACGTTGGAAACCAAGTCGTGATACGTCGTCTCCGGGTTCTTCTCGTACAACGTAGTCAGCGTCTTCGTCAGCGCCCCGAACGCCTCTTCCCCGGCCGGTCGCACATCCGCGCTCGTCTCACTCGCCTGGCACCCCGTGATCAGCGTGCATACGTCCCTGCTCATCGGCTGGTGTGCCGGATTGTATGCTGGTGCGTCACCACTGTCCTCTTGTCCCCCTAGACCCATTCCTCCCATCAGTCCGGACAGCATGGCCATGGGGTTCTGAGATTGAGGCGCGGCCGTCTCTGTCTCGGTGGCGCCTCCGCCCATCATGCTCGCCAGAGGGTTGCTCCCACCTGATGAAGCGTTGCCACCGCCCAGGGCTCCCATCAGTGATCCCATAGGGTTTCCATTCTGCTCGGTAGACCCACCGCCACCCATCATGGATGCCAGCGGGTTGCTGCTGGTAGTAGACCCACCGCCGCCCATCATGGATGCCAGCGGGTTGCTGCTGGTCGTAGACCCACCGCCGCCCATCATAGATGCTAGCGGGTTGCTGCTGGTAGTAGACTCACCGCCGCCCATCATAGATGCTAGCGGGTTGCTGCTGGTAGTAGACTCACCGCCGCCCATCATAGATGCTAGCGGGTTGCTGCTGGTAGTAGACCCACCGCCGCCCATCATGGCTGCTAGGGGGTTGCTGCCGGATGAAGTAGACCCTCCGCCCATCATGGCTGCGAGCGGGTTGCTGCCGCTGCTGGAAGTAGATTTGCCTCCCATCATGCCGCCGAGCATACCGACGAGCGGGTTAGATGAGCCGCCATCCTGCTTCGCCATCTGGCCCAGAGCAAACTTCATCATGAGCTTGCCAGCCGTGCCGCCAAACACCTGGGCCATGGCGCCGTTGACGCCAGAGCCGGTGGGAGAGACGGGGGAGCCGAGCTTCTGCGACATGACGTTACAGATAGTGGAGATGGGGAGCGAGCGGTTAGACACGGCCTCACGTGAGCCTCCGAGGACGTTGACCAAGTCGTCGCTCTCCTGGGGCGGCACTGCTGAATCCTCGTCCTTGGCACCTTGGATAGCGACTTCCTGGCCATCCAGCATGGATCCAGAGTGGCAGCAGTCCATGACGACGGTGGCACGGACGCCCTCGGGGAGCTGGGAAAAGTACTGCTTGAGATCGTCGTCGGCCATGAGGAAGAGCTCCTCCAGGCAGATGGCCTCGTCGAGCTTGTCCTCCTCAACATCGTCGTCGTCGGCAGGGACTTGGGTGCCGTGGCCAGAAAAGTGCATGAAGATTGTGTCACCTTCCGATCGGCCGGTGCAGAGCCAGTCCAGGGCCTTCTTGACGTTGACATGGTTGGGGGAGTCATTGCTGTCATCATCGTCGACTAGGAGCTTGATGTCCTCGTCCTCAAAGCCCTTGGAATGGAGAAGGTTGACCATGAGACGGGCATCGTTGCAGCAGCCTTGCAAAGCGGCCTCGGGATTCTTGGTGTAGTTGACACCGATGACGACTGCGTACTTGCCCATGATGTTGTTTGATAAGTGTGACGGTGAGATTGAGTGAGTTTGAGTGAGTTTGAGTGAGTTTGGGAAAAGAGGTGGTGCAAGGGGAGTGAGCAGTAGGGGGTGGGGGAGGGGGGGGTTGGTAGTTAACCGACAAGGATCGACGTATGATGACGGCAGGCTCCAGCAAAAGCGGTATGCAAACGGATCGTTAAGATTGCTGGTGTTGCTTCTGGGCTGCGAGATCGGAAGGGGCGGCCTGCAGATATTTTGCGGTGCTTACATCGGTGCGTCAATGGGTGTCCCTGCAAAAGTATCCATATTATTTGCTTGGCGGGTCTCCTCGTTCTGGTCTACCATCACGACTTTGTGGTTGGCCGTCTGTGTCAACGTGAACAACTTTTCCGATCAGTACCATTACCATTATTCCCAACACGTGGCTCATTCTGCATTGCATCACCTGCCGCGACAGCCTGTCTTCGCTTACATTACCTCGCGTGTGATGACTCTTCGGCACAGATTCGCCTTCTGACTGGTCCTCCGCCCATATCTTATTCCAGATTCCAATCCCAGATTCTCATCGGGCCTCGTCATATCACTCATTCGTCAGAATTGAACGTGTACACCGAGTTTTTGTGTCAGCCAGACATGTCCGTTACTGTATACAATACTGTAGCATCATCCTCTACGTGTAGCTAACGTTACATCATGAATCCTTGTAATTTCCTTAATCTCTGATCCCTTGACATGTTGATGCCTCGATCCCTCTATCGTTTCATTCATTTAGGGCCAGGACAATGCGGCAGCATCCCCAGCCTTCACGCTCTACTACCTTCAACCCATCCCCCTCATTCCGCACTGACCCTCAGCACATCCCTCACGAACCCATTTCCCGCCACCTGGGAAGCCGCGTCCGTCCCCGCGCGCCTCACCAACGCAATATACTCCTCCAGCGCCTGCATTGTGTACTCCCCTCTCCCCACTTTCCTCCCCTGCGCATCCACCAATCTCATCTCATCTCTGATTAGCATCTCGTACACATTTTCGCATCGCCGCAACGCCTCCTCGTCCATCCACTGCAGCCTATTCACCCTCTTCCACTCGCTCTGGAACGCCTCCTTGTTCCTCTGCCTTCCCGCCCGGCACAGGTGCACCCTGGCCATCCACGGCTGCCGCACCAGCTGCTGCGCCGTCACGCGCCGCGCGCTCCGCACGAAGATCAGCGCAGTCAGCTCCGGGAACGAGTCAGGGATCCTCGCCGCGCACACCACCCCGCGCCTCTGCTCCCGCGTCTTGGCACACGTGTGAGTCGTCAGGTACGACAGCACCTCCCCGCACACCTGCGTGTGACGGTTCGCATTCCGCAGCCGCGTAAACCCCTGGATAAGCCGCTGACGGCTCTTCACTACTCCCATCGCCCCAAGCAAGTAGATGAACCCGCGCTGTGTCATCCCCGCTTCCGCGAGGCTCACCCGGATATCCAGACGGCATGTGTAGATGTTGCGGTAGAAAATCCCCTGCGATTCGGGCGGCGTTTCGATCACGCTTTGTAGTCGCCTTGGGTTTATCATGTCGGGGATGAAAGAGTCCTCTTCGCTGTCTTCATGCGGGTCGGGCAAGGTCGGGCTGTCATTGCCTATGCCCATGACTAGCTGGGCCATTATTTCAAGCACTTCCTCTGAACCCTGGGGCATTGCTTTGCGATTTCCTGAAATGTGCGACGAAAGTTGGCGTGGGAAACCTTGCCGTTCTAATGAAAGAAGATTCCTTTTATATGGAAGTAACTACTGCTTCATGATGTGTCCGACTCATGTTTAGCTGTAGTGGCAATCTTTGCTTGCGCGCCTTTTCCAGTTGCCTCCACTTTTCGGTCTCGTTCTAACGCGTGGAGCACTATAACTCGTATGCGATTTATGAAAATACGGGTACTGGGAGCAGGTGCGGTCTCCACGTCAGGTGAAGACCTTCTCACGCCTATGAAAAGTCGCTAAACACGGAAGCCTTCGTTTTTGAAATAGTCGTTCGTTCGCGAGCTGGCGTCATGTCATTTCGTAATAGGGATGATATATGCAGCTGCAACCTTTGTTTGCTAAATAGTTCAGTTTTCTAGAGCGCCTGGCTTCTTCTGGATTGCGCCAGCAGCTGTCTCGTTCCCAACCCCCCGCGGCAAACCATGCTATCTTATCAACGCTGTCGGTATACTTGTATTGACCGACACAGTATCTTATAGGCTGCTTAAAAACTGGTCGAACGCCTCACCTTTCCTTGACGCGTTAGCGTGTCCCTGGGCTCCAAAGCCAAGCCTTTGAGGCATTAAAAAATGTGCCGAAACATTCTGGAAAAATCTGCTTGAAGCTGCAGGCCTGGCTCATCCTCACTTCCCCCCTCCCTCTCCACCGCCTTCACCGCCTTCACCGCCTTCACCGCCTTCCGGGCCCGAGCTTCTTTGTCGTTCATACTGACGGACATCCACCGGAGTGGCCATCGTCCAAGAGCTGAGAAAATCATTTGATAGCATGGCAGACATCCCAACCATAGACTTCAGTCCGTTTATGCAGGATAAGGGGGCCATTTGCGGTGAGGCTCCGACGGTCGAGCAGCGAAAATGCGCTCAAGAGATAAATAGTGCTTTTCGCGTGCATGGATTTCTCTTTCTGGAGAACATCGGAGTGAGTAGCCAAGAGTTGCAGCTATACTATGACATGGCAGCAGCCTTGTTCTCGCTTCCCAATGAACACAAGAGGACAAAGTTTGTACAGCTCACCCCGGAAACCAATATTGGCTTCATTGGGTTGGGCCATGAAAGTTTGAATAGGAAGCGCCCGCCTGACTTGAAAGAAGTGAGTTGCTACTTGCATGCTACGTACTATGCGACGTAAGTGATCGAGAAGTCTAACATTGCGGCGTTTCCTATTTGATTTCTGGTAGGCGTACAATGTTCGAAACACTCGTTGTTTCGCTCACGACTTTTCCGCTTGTCCTCCCCAGTTTGAACAAGGCTTCCGCAGTCTCTGGACAAGAGTGGAAAGAGCAGCGCGCAATTTCTCCATAGCATGCGCTGCCGCTCTAGACCTACCGCACGATTTTTTTCTCAGGTCTCTGCAAGCTTTTAATAGTTGCGTCATCAGACTGAACTATTATCCACCTTGCGACTTCGAATCAGGGAAGAGCACAGGAGAGAATTTGTCCGCTCCGTTGCGCGTTGGAGAACACACAGATTTCGGATTATTCACAATTCTATTCAATAATGAAGCTGGTCTCCAGGTGAAGGCAGTAGAGGGCGGAGAAGTCGGAGGAATCATACACAACGAGGCTGGCGGATGGCTTGACGTCCCTGTGCCCAAGGGCACGACGGCCATTATCAATACTGGGGCGCTCCTAGCGCGTTGGACTAACGATGTCTGGCGTGCGACCGCGCATCGAGTGGTAGTTTCAAGCGCCGATGAGGCTTCATCCGAGCGCTATTCGATTGCCTGTTTCATTGATCCGGACAAAGAACATCTTATTGAAGTGCATCCAAACTTTGTCGCTCCTGGGGAGGAGCCAAAGTATGAAACCATCAAGGCCCATGACTACATCCTAGGGAAGCTACAGCAAGCTCAACTGGAAGGCGCTGGCTACAGCTGAATGCTAATAATGATGGAGGAAATGTGAAAGTACAACTTTGGGACGAGAGTGGTCGACACATTTGAGTCTCTCAAGAAAAGCCCAGCAAGAAGGTCAGAGAAACTGGTCTGCACGCATAATTTTTGCATTGTTTCTCGCCACTAAATTTCGACAATAGCGACGTTCGTATGAATGAGCCCGACAAGCCCACTCCCGTGCATGGCATGACCAAGAAAACTCCTCATCCAAATCCAGACAAGTTAGCTGCGGCAAACTTGGACAACTGCATGTGTTAACAACATGGAAGCCTTACGATCAATGGTCGCAAGACCCAGGCAAAGGACGAGAAGAAATGTATCTGCGAAGGAAACCATTGCCAATGCAAATGCTATGGAGGACCCTTTCGCAGAACTACACATGACGATGGAACTCCCATATTCTCGCCTCAGTGAAATTCGCCTGCGATGGAAATCTGGACCATCGCTGTCCAATACAGAACGTGAGTGGATGCTGAAATCTGTCGCAGAATTGAAAGGATACTACGAAAAGTCAATCATGGAGTGGGACGAAGCTGAGAAACAAAGGGATTTGCGGCATCCACAGCAACGTTTTCTAATCGCATCGCATGAAATGTTTGGTGAACACATGGCGTTTCTCAGTTTTAGGTGGGACCTGGAAGAGGGTGAGCCAATCATGTACGTTTATGAACTTGGCGTGGCGGAGGAAGCCCGAGGGAACCGGCTTGGATTTGCGCTGATGAGGTATGCTGAGGATCTTAATCGAAAGCTGTTCATTGAGTCCATTATGTTGACCGTGTTCAACAATAACAGCCCTGCAGTGAGATTATACCGTGACAAATTGAAGTAAGTTAAGGCAGTACTAATGCTGAATGCAGCAGAAGACACTCTTATATCCGAAGGCAAAATTTGCTAACCGTACGCAAGAGAGAATATGAATCCTTTTTTCACGACAGATATCAAATTGATGCTAGTTCCCCCAGTCAACACGATTACGATGGAGTGGGATATGAAATATTGTCGAAACGAATACACAGTTAGTCCGCGAGTGCGCGGGTTGTAATTATTGCTTATTGTACAATGAAGGAAAATAACTCTGGGTATAGGCAACTAAAGCTTGTACTCTATAACTACGAATCAGTGCAGTGCTCTAACCACTCCCTTGAGTGTCTGAGGGTACTGTACTATCAAACAACGTCCCTGAGCGAGTTCTCGTGCTCACTGGAACAATACATGATGATGTCTGAGTAATCGCCGGTTGAAGTATGGACGCAATTGACATCCCTTCGTCACTGTTCTGTAGCTTAGGATTTAAGGTATCAATCCATGGCGCTCGATTTAAGGACAGCATCTCTCTGTCTAAATCACGGGAACAGCGCCGGCGTTGAGAATCGAGGTCTAAAGATGTTTCACGATTCTGTCCCTGTTCTCGGTGGTCGATAGCGTTGGTGGGAGCCGATACCTCATCAAACTCAGTAAACACAGCTGAGGGCGGCGCGGAAATGGAAAGAGGGACTGTCTCCGAAAACTCCAGACCGACTTCCAGACCAGTGCTCGACTCTCCTATGTTCTTCGGTTCAACAATTTCGTCGGGAAGCTCATTTGCTGCGCCCTTCGCCGATAATGGAAAGTGCGCGACTTCGGTAGGGCTTCTGTTACATCCCAATTGCTGCATATTCTCATCAATGGTCGGGTCTATTGCGCTGGCTGGGGGAACATCGTCAACAAGGGATTGCCCAGATAGGACGGTTCGTTTCGCATGATACGCACCCACTGGTGACCTCTCTTCGACGGAACTACCCGCATTAAACATCTCGCGTTCTGAGGATCTCTCTTTCATGTCGTCACGACCATTCGCCGCAGAACCAGGTTCCGACCTCGCATGATAGACTTCAGGAGGCGTCCGTCGTTCAACAAGAGGTACAGGCTCTTGTACGCTGTACAAATCCACGCTGTTCGGAACTGCCCAAACATTGGAGTCCATAGAGGAGTCGACGTCCGCCTTCTTTGCTTGCAAAGTGCTGTCGTCTTTCATTAAAGAATTATCAAGATGGTCATCTGAAGACACCTGAGGCAGCTCGCTGTCTCTGTTGACTGCAGCGTTGTTCTCATAACTTGATTTTCCTTTGGTGCTCGAACTGCCATCCTCGATTCCCTCTGTACCGTCAACTTCTACCGTAAGAGCAGGCTTCCCCAATTTGACATCAGGCAAATCTAACTTGCGTCGGACCCCTACAGTTGACCCGTCGGGCCTGAGTCGATCAGCCATCGGAAACTTTCGCACCATGTTTGCCTCGAGTTCTCTACCGGTGCGCTCGGCCTGCCTGAAATTAAACTCGTCTTCGTCATCATCGGAGATGTCTAAGTCGGGATGCAAGGCGAGAAGCATGCTTTCGCTGGGGCTCTTGGCCACAGCCATCGGACTGAGGGCGGTTTCGCTGCTAATGCTGTGAGGCCCGGGCGAGCCCTGTAGCACGAGCGACGCTCTCGTGGCCGCCGGGTGTCGTAAACTGTTGAGAGCAGACAAGCGCTCGGTTTCGTCGATGCGCAATTTGCTCAGCAACTCAAGTTTCACCAAGCGCGCTGCGGCGATCTCCTTTTCAAGTATATCCCTCCTTGCGTCGGATCTCGCGAGCTTGGTGGACAGGTCATCCAGTCGGACGCGTAGAAAAGCCATCTTCTCGCGCGCCGCGTCCCGCTCATCGGTAAGGGAGTCGACGGTGGCAGAGAGGGAGGCAACGTTGTCCCGAAGTGTTTGCAGTTCCTTCGTGCGACGGGTGGATTGTTTGGTAGATTCCTTAGCGGCCTCCTCCACGACGGTGAGCTGCTGTGACTGGACGGAGAGCTCTTGGGCGGCGCGACGGAGGTCATTAGCGTAGCGCTGCATGGCCGAGCGAGACCGGCGTGTCGCGAAGAAGCTAAGTAGAAAGGCAAAGACGACCTGCCATAACAGCCAACTCCAGTCCATGGCGAACTGCGGTGCAATGCGTTAGCGTTCCACGCGAAAGGAAGGTGGGCTTATAGGGGCGAAGGTTGTGAATGGAGAAGCAGCGCGGGTAGGCGCATCATGGTTCCTCGGGAATTGTTGTTGTTTGTTGGTGACGAGGGCCACGGACCGATTCGAATATGGGAGGAAATATTTCATCCTAAAATGTTCTGCGGTCCACAGCATAGGCAGACCAATTGGCACTGGCACGCCTGGACTTCGCGCAGTCATCACCTCCACCTCCCGGACGTTGAATCACCCTCAGGCAAACTTCACGCGTTCAATTTCATGCACCCCCGCGCCGCAAACCCTGCACCGCATTCCCGGGTCCCGCTCGAGCTCCGTCGCCACGCACGCATAGCAAAATACGTGCGCGCACGGTCTCGCTTGATGCTTCATTGTGATGTCACCGGTTCCGCACGCGCCGCATTTGTCCACGCCCAGCCCTTCTCCGCTCGCGACACCCACGCGCTCCACCCCACCCAGCCCCGTGAGCAGGCGCCGCCCCACTCGGGACCGTCCCAGCCACCCTGATCGTGAAAGCAGCGGCGACAGTAGGAGAGCGAGCTCGGCGACGCCCTCCCATACCAGCTGCGCGTTGACAAACTCGAACGCCGGCGCCCGCGCGACGGTCCGCTTGTAGTAGGAAAGGCGGGCTCCCACGACGCGATCTGCGAGGGAACGGAAGACGCCATAGCGAAAGAAGAGGGCGAGGTTGACTACCGTCGCGAAGCGCGTGGCAGCTTCGATGTAGTTAAGGGCGCGCCACACGATGCGACGATGGCCCCCACGGCGGGACCATCCGGAGATGGAGAGGTGCCTGCGGAGCGAGGTGAAGGCGTAGGGGAGGAGAACGTCGAGCGCCATGTGGGCGGCCCGTTGGAGTGGGGTTAGGGGCAGGTAGCATAGGTTTTGGATGGAGTTACCGGGAGACGCTTTTTGGACCATCACCGTGTTGAGATGGAAGAATAGGCGGAGGAGCGTTTGTAGTTCGGGGAGACAGGCCTCGAGTGTGGACTGAGGGAAGAAGCGCAGACATTCGCGCAGAGATGTCAGGAAGAGCCCGAGTAGCTCGTCGTCGAGACGAAGGGCATCCAGTTGACTTACGCGCTGCACGGCTGCGTAGCGAGGCGGTACGGTGCTCATGGTGAAAATGGGCACCGGGGAAGTGAAAGGTGATTCAAAATGGGGGTGCGAAGACAGCCTATGCTTCACCCGGGACAGTGGCGCGGAGAGGAAGCGGGACAGTTTTGAACGGGCTGTAGAAATTTTGAGAGGGGTTTTATTAATGTCCGCAAGAGGATGAATCACCATCCTGCTCATCAATCCCTATCAGGCATCCAGAGACCTCTGGTCAATCCACAAGCGCACCAACACAACTTTTAGACTTCAGTATCACACGGCCTCTTATAGAGTGCTCATTGCGAACATACCGTAAGAGGCCTGGACCAGATCACGGCACACGTCGTGTGATGGAGACACACATATGTTGGAGAGGATCCTCACGCTGCGGGACCCATCGCGTGCAGTTCCTCTCCACCACACGAGCTGATCCTGCGCGCAATTGAACGCATCTGCCTTCCTACCGAAACGCAAGAGCCTTGAGGCACGGCATCTGCCCGTCGAAATACCGTTCATACAAAGCGTCTAAGACCACCAAAGCTGCTCCCAACATCATTCCGGAAAACGCCGCGCAAACGTTGAAAACCCGTTAGTACAAACCACCCTCTGCTTTCCTCCCACTAACAGATACGCGCACAAGCAAATCGCATCAGCTCGCTCGACTTACCGACCGGTGCCACAAACATCTGTCCGAAAATCCTGAAGCTCTCTACACCGTCACCGCATCGATCGAAACCGAACACAGAGTCAGTACGCGCCTTGCACACGCTCATCTCGCACCCGCGCATCCACTTGCTACGTACTCTCCAGTATGTTCCTGCTGCCCACGTAGTGATCGGCCCACGCATCGAGCAGCTCGCTCTTCCCCCCCAACAGGTGGCGCACCTTGACCCACAGCTGATCGCAGGTGGCGGTGGACACGGTCGACTCCTCCTTCTCCTCCGTTGCCTCCCCTACTCACAGAAAGCACGCACCAACGCAGGAGCGAAACTCTCGTCAGACAGGTGCGCGGGCAAACGCCTCCGAGAAACGCAGCATGCGGTACGTACAGTCGCGCGCTTCGCGCAGACGCACGACGGCAGCGCTCATCGCGACGCCCACGCCAGATACAGCCAGCGTCGCCATGACGGCCTTATCGGTCAGCGACATCTTGGGCATAATGAAAATGCAAAATGGGGCAAGGGCAAAAGCTCAACGGGAGCGTGAGGAGCACGACTACGTTCTTTAACAGCCGGAGTAAAAATCGGGAGGAGGAAAATCACAATTGCAAACAAAAAAACCCGCTGCGCCACTACCACCGCCACTTGCTCTGCAGCTTTCGCACCCTCTTTTGCACGGCCTCCCTCTCCTTGCTACCAACCAAGCGCATGAGCACTTCCCCGCATCTAACAGCCATCTCCCTCTCCCCCTTTCTTTCATGCGCGTCCATCTTCCTCTTCCACGCGCCGACGCCATCCGCGGCGCAATCCACGGCCTGATTCGCCTGTCGCAGCGCGTCGTCCACTTGCCCCATGTCGAGCAGCACGGCGGCCCAGTTAGCGCGTGCCGCGCTCTCCAGGCGCGGACACACATGCAGCCCTGCGGCCGCGCGCGCGTACGCGGCGGCCGCGTCGTCCAGCCGCCCGGCCGTGAAGTGAGCGTCCGCGCGCTCCTTGTCCTGCAACGCGCCGACGAGCGCCTCCGCAGGGTACAAGTCGAGATCCGCGAGCGTGGCCACGACCGCTGCGACCGTGCGCTGCGCAGGCTGGATGAAGGGCGTCGCGCCGCCCGGCGCCACGCCGACGTTCGGACCCTGTCCGCACTCGCCGAGACAGCCGACGCCGCTCGACGTGGCGTGCGGCGTCGCCGTAGAGAGCAGCGCCGCCAGCGTAGTGGGCAGGGCCTTGCCGAAGGCGGTTTGCGAGCAAGACGGGCCCGTGCATACAGAGAAGTGGGGGGTGGTTGCGCGGGAGAGCACGGGGGCGCAGCGGCGGCAGGAGGGCCGCACGGGTAGCGGAGGGCCGAGGAAGGTCGGTGGCATCGTGGAGATGTAGGTTGTTGTGCGGGCTCGAGGCCGGGCGTGGGGTACGAAGGGTCCGAGTTTGGGGGTTGAAGGGAGGAGGGCGAGGAAGAGAGCTTGACAAAAATGGTGTTGCAGGACGAAATAATATTTGATTGGTACAGTAGGAAGATGCAAATGGGATATTCGGGCTTGGGTCTTTCTAGGCGAAGCACGGGGGTCTCAGTGGCAGCGATCCGCCTCTGCGGCGTATCACCGGCACCACTCTGGCAAATACGCAATCGCCTCCTCCTTCAGCGTGGCATCCAGCCGCCAGCAATTGGGCTCCACGCCGGTGGCGCGCCACAAAACGGCCTCCCACCTCCTGAAAAACCGAGACCCATCCAGCATCTCATTGCACACGCCTGACAGAATACAATACCTGCCCTCATACGCCCCGCGGTGATGCTTGGCATGCATTCCCTGCGGCACGAGCACGCCCCACGCTTGCAGGCGCCTCACCCAGGGCGCGGCGCGCATCATGTGCGCCTGGCGGTGCGCCTCCTGCGCCCCGACAATACCCGCCAGAAACGTCCCGTAGAACGCGGCAGCCGGCCCGCCCGGCGCGACGCACAGCAAAAGCGCCAGCTGGGGGAGCGTCGGCAGCGTGAGCCGGTACAGGTTATTCGACACATCGCGCGCCGTGATCGTCCACGGCGCGTCGTGGTGCCCCTGGAACGCCGCGATCTGGTCTGCGCAGCGCAGCGAAAGACGGCGGGGTGTTATGTTAGCGGGGTGCGAAAGCGTACGAGCGAAGGGGCTGGCGGGCGGGAAGGGCGGGAAGGGTACGTACATCCGAAGAGCGGGGTGTCGGCGGAGCCGTAGTTGTCGACGGCGTGGTGGTACACGCCGACGGCGAAGTCCGAGAAGACGTAGGCGGCGGCGACGGCGGCGGCGTCGAGCGCGAGGTCGGCGGGGCCGGCCGCGGAGGCCGCTAGCTTGAGCGGGAGCGCCGCGTACGCGGTGCAAAAGGCCACGACCAGGGCTCGCTGCGCAGGCGTGCCGGAGAGGGAGTCGCCGTCCGCGACGAGACGGGGCGAGGCCGTCGGGCGCTTGGCGGCCACGGCGCGCTTCGCCACCTTGGGCGGCTCCGCCGTTTGCACGCTCGTCGGCGAGAGCCGTGTGCGGCGCAGAGGGCGTGGCGCGCGCCGAAGCTGCTCGGGCGAACGCGACGGGCGGGGCGCAGGCAAACGCAGGGTCAGGGGAGGAAGGAAGGCCGGGTGGGAGGCTGCGGTGGACATCATCAGAGGTGTGAGGGGCAGGTTAGTGACAGTGGTGACGTGGATGGAGAGGGCGGGAGGTGTGTAGTGTGTAGGGGATGATGGACGGAGGGCTGAGTCGGAGAGAGTGAAGTGTGTTGTTGTTGTTGAGAGGCAAGCGGAGTTGTGAGGATTACAGCCGCATTATGTCTGCACGACCGCAAACAAGGTCGGGCCACAATTGATCGATCGGGGGCGGTCTCGGAAGCGGCGGTGCGTGGGCGACGGTGCGTGGGCGACCGGCAGCATGCTCGTATGTGGTGGGCGTCTGATGAGCCCAACCGACGGCGGTGGCCGCTTAATGGCGCGGTATTGCCACTTCAGCGGCCAACCGGCGTCCCCCACGTGAAATCCTGAAGGCGGAATCCCGCCGCCAGCGGCGCTCTGGCCAATATCACCCCCCTGTTTTTCCCTTGTTTCCGCCACATTCCCAACTTGATTTCGCTCGAACCGTCATACCCAGACATACCCATGCGCCGTGTCCCATCCTCCATCTCACTGTAAGTAACACCCCGCGAAACGCACTCCTTACAGCGCCAAGATGCGCTGCGAAACGAACACCCCCCCCCTACACCCTCTCCCTTCTCTCCGAACCGATCACCCCATCGTCATCACCATGCACCACCCCGCCTCCATGGCTCTCCGCCTTGCCGCGCGGCGTCTCCCGCCGTCCCTGCGTACCCTTTCCACCCTCCCGTCCACCCCCTCCACGCCCGTACACCGCATCTACAGCAACCCGCGCCGCCTGCGCTCCGCGGCTATGACCGTGCTGGCCACGGGGCAGGCCGGCTTCTGGGCGTCGGCGGCCTACCTCTCGCACCAAGTCCCGGAGCCCCTCCTGGGCCCGGTCTGGACGTACGCAGGCTTCGGGCTCTCCGCCGCCTTCGCCGCCCTCATCGCCACCTACCTCCGCCGCTCCGTCGCGGAGATGGCCCTCGTCGAGGCCTCCGGACCCGCGCTGCGCGTCACGCCGCACGGGCTCGCGGGGCTCCTTGGGAACCCCGTCAACATCCCGGCCAGCGAGCTTGTCTGCGGGCCCGGCGGGGACGATCCGAACCATCGCTATTGGTCCTTTGCGAGGAGGGGGCAGGGGATCACCTTGTATTACATCGTCGATGTACAGAAGGGCGTGCAGGACCAGGACGCTGTCAAGGCAGTTGTGAAGGGCGGCGAGCATTTGTTGGCGTATACTCATCGCCGCGATGCTGCTATCATGAAGGAGAGGTGGCACCAGTGGAAGGAGACCAACAAGCGGCAGGCCGTCGAGCCCGTCCCGATGTCGCGGAAGATCGTCTGAGCCACACGTCACCTTAACAGCTGCGCTCGAACGGGGGGCGATACGTCAGGCCCATGGCTTCAAACACGTCCATCTCACTCTTCGGCCCGGGCGTGAGCTTGACCCTGTGCCCGCCGTCGCGTTCGAAAATCCCGTGCTGGTTAAAGATCCACCCCTTCTTCTCGCAGTACAGCCGCAGATCCCGCTGGAACACTGTCGACCCGGACCACGCCAGCGTGGCAAAGGGGAACTCCGCAGCGTCCCGCACCCCTACCACATCCACTCGGAACACACACCCTTCGAACACGGCCAGCCCGTGCAGAATGTCGTGCGCGTACCGGTACACGCCTCGCACGCGGCTCGTGTGGTACCGCCGCTCGTGCCACCCTTCTTCGTTCGCGGTCAGTGACAGTACGGACACTAGCAATCCGCACTGGGAGAGCCGCCGCGCGACCGAGGCTAGCACCGAGTCGTGGTTGTCCGCGCGCTCTTGCCGACGACAGTACAACAGGTCCACGTCGTGCCCGGACAGCTCGGCCCGCCGGAAACCCCCGCAGAGTGTCACTCGGAGATGCAGGTTGTTCTTCCCGCCTTCGTTGAGACATGCTTTCACTTTCTGGTTGAATGTCTCGGCTTGCTTGAAGTTCAAACGCTTGAGTCTGTCGAAATGATGTAAATGCTTGACCAGCGTCTCCGGAAACTCGTTTGGGTACGATTTCACTTTTTCTCGCAACTGTTCTACGCTCGTTACACCTCTCACGTCGTACAACTCTCGGGCTGATGCTGCCCCTACTCCGTAGAATTCCCGAAACTCGCTGAGCGTCCGCAGCCGCACGTCCGTCTCCAGCATTGACGCCTCATGCATATCGCCCGTATGTAGATATTCGCGCACAGCACCAAGGACACGAAGACCGAGCGCATGCAAACTGTCGACGTCTTGCGGCGTTTTCAATGCAAAGGGCACACACTTTAAGGCTGAGCTAGCTAGTTGATAAGCGTGAGCACGGGTATCAGCTGCAAGGGTTGACCCGCCAGCTTGTTCTAGAACACGCTTTTTTGCAATCTTCTCCAACATCTTGCAGATGTCCCGGTTTGGCGATGGATAGATGCTCTGCGTCACTGTGCTCCGTTGGCAAAGATGTACAGGTAAGTTTCGTAGAAGGGCCTGCTTTTGAGCGATATCGCTGTAGTCAGGCCTCCCAAGACTGCACCACACGGGGAGAAAGCCTGTGCTCTTGTGTCCCTTCGCATCTTGGGTCGTGCCCGAGTTGATCTTATCTGACACCGAGGCAGGGCGATCTCTGAGGAGGTAGGGATCAAGCGGAAGCGGTGATCGCATCGAAAGAACTGCTGAAGCCCATTTGGTCGAGACATATCGCGGACTTCGGAGAGTGCCTATTTGTTGCTCTGCACGCAACTTGTTATCTGTCACCACGACGACGCTAGCTACTTCTGCACCTCCAGCGTCCTCCTTCAACTTGCTCAAGTCCTCAATCACACATGCCCCTGCGCCTCTTAAGTTACGCGTCAATATCGCTCCTTGGCGTCTCTTCAGGGGCGAAACAACTACAGCGATAGGTTTGGTCTCGTCAAAGCAAGCCAGGTATCCGTTAGATCCGCTTTGAGCCTGTGACGAAATCGGAAGACTAACATTCGGAAGGGTTCGCCTCCGCTTCTCAGGACGCCCTGCACCTTCCCCCATATGAAATGAGCTATCGGATATGCCCGCCTTGTCTTCCGCCCCTTTTGCTAGCTTTTCGAGTCGTTCCCGCAGCAAGCCGTTGCGGACGACTGCATCAATTTTGTTGCGGCAACCTTGCAAATTTTGTTCTCCACACGGCGCCAGCAGGCTCGGAGGAAGGCTGGGCCAAACTCAACCTCCATTCCCTGGAGTGCCAGGTCGCCAAACTGAGTATCGACGAGCTATCTAACAGGAATAAAAATAATTTTTTTGCCCAGGCGCCTCCAAGGACCGGAAGTGAAAGACATCAAAGCTACGGCCTTGTGTGAAGAAAAGCGCTGGGCGTTGCGGAAGAGTGCTTGAACATGCAGAGATAGATGCATTGGCACTTTGATGAAACCTTTACAGTTCAGCTATCCACGGCGTCTCCCTCTCCCCCACCGCCCGCCGCGTGCCTCGAGGTCTTCGGCAGGCTGTTTTACATGTCGGTCAACGGATTTACAACATCAATGGAACCAGCGTTTCCCACCACTCTTGCTGTTCACTCTTATCGCTAATGCGAAACCACACTTGCTTCATCTGTCAAAATGGGCGAGCACATACTGCACTGTGCAGGTGAAAGATAAAACATGTCGTCGTGAATTGGAGGGTAGTACACGACGGACAATCCCATCCCCCTCCCCCATGCGGAACACTTTACTATGTACTATCTTAAAGCAGTACTCCTAACGAGATGGGGCTGACTTCTTACAAAACACGGCGATAACTGAAGCTCACCTGCTCTGGGCACACCATTCACCCATGACCCGACTAGCAACATTGGCTGCATAACCTCCCTTTGACTTTATTTCAGCGGTGCTCGAAGTTTTAACACACAGGGCAAGCTAAACCCGGAGCCTTTCACACAGTTCTTCGACGTCGCGCAACGGGCGAAGTCTCAGCTGGCACAGTCCAAGGTACGTGCTCTCATGGATATTTTCACTTGTCTCTGGGGGCCGCCGCAGATTGAGGCCATCCGCCTTTCTTTCGAGCAGCATGACGTTCTCTTCGTGCTTATCTGTATAAAAATCCTCCTCGCACCGAATGGCTCTTCGTCTTCATGTTGCACACCATGACAAGCTTTTGTAAGTGCTTGATTTCCACAGAATGGTTCCTCATCTATTCGTGCATGTCATGATTATTGTCGACATCATGGGCATGTTTACTTCGAGACTTTTCGCAGCGTTGGACTGAACAGTGAACTCTTAGATAGATAGAGCAGAGCAGGTGATAAGTTTCTTTACTGCACCTAGCCTTTTTGAAGGGGGCGGTGGGGGGGGGGGGGGGGGGGGGGGGGGGCACTGCAAAATGCAGGATGTCAATAACTGGTCACGAAGAAACAGATTAAGTGGCGAGAGTTGACGAGAGTTGACGAGGAACTCTCTGAACAGTCTTTCACGTTCAAAACCCGCACTAAAACACTTGTTTGGAGGACTGCTACTATAAGTAAAGATGATTTCATGAAGACATGCTTGCATCCTTTGTGATACCTCAGTTTGATGGGCAGGTTCGGATGTTACAAGGCTACATTCTGTATAGTGGATAATCCCACCAGAGATTTCATCAGGTAATTCAGAAACACATCATTTCTGAGCTGGTGATAGTTTACAGGTTGGAAATGATAAATTTGGCCCTCTAACGCCTCACTAGGTCTCTTATGCAGATATCCAGCTTTCGCTCAAACTGCATTCGTTTGCTCTGTGACTCGATCTCTAAGGGAACGACAGGGTTATTCGAAGACAGTACATTTATTGCAAATTCAATTGAATTTGTCGTAATTCACTACCGCTTAGCGCAAAAGGGCAGCATTCTCTCAATACACCAGCAAGTATGGAGAGACTAGATCTCCTCACTCGGCTCGCGGCCGAGTAAATCCAGAGCGCAACTTGCGCGAAACTGACGCTTCATTAGGGCTCTCTTCTCCCGGTACCGCTTCTGAATTCGGCGTCTGCGCTCCAACTGGCTATTACCGATTTGGTACCATCGATTTGTCAGTTGCTGGTACAAAGTCATGTCCTGTGCTCGTAGCGGCCTCCAACGAATATAAAAATTCGTGAGACCTAGACACGTTTGAAACACTGCATCATAGTTACCTTCTGACGACTTCCACTTTGTACCCACTACCGACCAAAGCCCGCACATGCGCCCGAAAAAGTTTTCCACAAGAATGCGGTCGCCCGAGATAGCTCGGTTCTCGGCCACCTCGCTTGGCGAGAGAAACGCACCAGGGAGCTTTCGTTTTGGATGAATCACTCTGCAAAACTCGGCAGCCCCCTGATATCCCTTGTCCGCTAATATGGCCCACTGTCCCGGATACTCCTCTTGCAAGGGTCCACTGTCCTCAATTGTAGCCTCATCCTCCTTTTTGCGCTGAGCGCGTTTGTGGAACCACTGCATTTCCCTGAAAATTACCAAATCGGAGACAGAACCAGGCTCATGCATACTACAGCAAATTGCAAGCCCGTTTGGCATAACGTTTACTTCCACTTTGTAGCTGTAAAGCTTATGTTTTCCACTGAAGTACTTCTTGCCCTCTTCTAGGCTGCCGGAGGGGCGAAAAGAGGGCTGGAAAGGGACATCAGTGGCATAACGGGTCATAGGGTATTCCTTAAAAAGCTTACTCTTATCCGATAGTTCCTTCATCGACCATCGCTTGTGGCAGTAGGTCACGTACTGCTCGTAAACAGGTTCTGAAATGATCCCAATGAAACGCACTATAAGGCGTTCGAAGGTATAGGTCTTCTGACCAAACATTTTGGCCAAAAAATCCCACGTTCCGCCATGTTTCAGGACCGAGAGGGTCATGAACAGCACATCCTTTGGGCTGTGGGAGCATTTGCGCTCTCTGCCAACATTGTAGTTCTCCAAAATGAGGTTTTGAAACCCAGCCCAAATGCCCATAGACTGGGCTGGGTTAAAGTTGATCATTTCAATGATTGTGCGAGCCCCGCTCTGATCGTAAAATTGATCGAAAATGGGGGAGTCTGAACCGTTGTCCTCGTCACTATCGTCAGGGTGGGCTGCGTCGTAGAGCTCGAGCTCATTTCTGCGCTCAATGGCCGCTGTCGACAGCGGCTGACGAGTCTGGGCCGCTTCTTGTGCCGTGAAGGGGGCCATCAGGGATTGGGGAGTGTTAGGTTGCGGTGGGTGGTGCTGCGGAGTGAGGTAAAGGGAGGGAAGATGTGTTTGTTCTCACTGTGGCCAGTGCAGATCGACGTCTATCCGAAATATCCAGGTCATTTGCGCAATGACCCAGTTGTTTCGCTTTTTTCTCCCGTGTCGTTGCACTGATGCAGTGCGCAGGTATTGAACACGTATATGTGCATGTGTGATTTGTATGCAGTAATCATAATGTATTTTTGATTTACTGGTTGTATGATACTTTACCTGATCATAACGAATTGAGGATTGTCTTTTTATCGGATGATTGGGTTTATTGCATGTCCCCTCATATTTCCGTAAAGGGTCTACTGTGAAGCAATCTTGCAACGCTATATTGACCTCGTTGCCTTGCTTCCTCATGGAACGCTGCAGAATTCGTCAAGGAGTGAGTACATGCTACAGTGCGCGAAATTGAAGTAAATACACCCATCGACGAGAGGGGACCACGCACTTCCCGAACAACTCGTTTCCAACTGCCACGCCTCTAGCACAATCACGCGTCACTAAAAACGCCTATGAAGTCAAATTGGTGCCAAGTGCAACCAAAATCTGTCGCCGCAATCGCGCAACGCGAGGTCATGGGTGAGTACACAAGGACCGAGCCCGTGCGAGGAAGCTCACACGGAGGTTTAAGGAAGTCGAGCGTAAAGGGGGGGTGCCCTAATTTTTGGAACACGCCCTAATTACCTGAACATCCCAAATATTGCGAACTTTTATCCCCATATCGGGCCAAAGACAGCAAACAATGCTCAACAAGTTCCTAAAAAGCCAATGGCTCAATTCCTTGTGGATAGATTCAAAAAAAATCTGCGCAAACAATACCACGCACCAATTTACATTAAGGACATCACTTGTTTCAATTCCTCTATTTCGCTGCCAAAAGAGGCGGGCCTTTCAAAACACAAACACCGATGGGCGCGCAAAAATTCAGACGTCCCGCCAAAAGTCCGCATGGCATCCACACCAAACGCAGTATAAAAGGACCATCGTTTCATGGAACACACAGGGAGCGACTTCAAGGCATTCTAGTCTCGAGACCTTCACGCCTGCATTGGTGGTCACAAAAATGACCAAGCGATCGAAGCACTCTTCCGAAAACTCAAGACTGCAGCGTGCCGTCAAAGCAGTCCTCGGGGTGCAAACATAACGCTCCGCTGCCGCACAGTTCCACTTTCCAATGTCCATCATCTACAACCACGTCAACCGCGATCCGTTGCGCATCAAAACAGCAAAACGCCCAGGCCGACTCACCGCATTAACTGCGCACGAGGAGAATTTAGTAGTTACGCTGCTAGCCCGCTACGCCGAACAAGGGATCCCGTTGCGTCGGGCACATCTTAAGGAAGCGGTTGAAATGATTATATGTCGTATGGCCGCTCCTCGACGCATGTTCCTTCCATTTAAAAACGGGTCACCAGGGCCCAAATTTTTGCGTAACTTCACCAAGCGGCACAAAGATATGTTACGTTTTGCCCGACCCCATCGTCAGGAGGCTAACCGTTTCCGCGCATGCAACGCTGATACATTGACGACGCACATTGCGACGCTTGACAAGATCATTTCAGAACACAGTATTGACGCTTCGAGAATTTGGAATCTGGACGAGACCGGCGCAACACTGGGAAAGGATGCGAATGGCAAAGAAACTGCTCGGGTTTATATGACAAGAGCAGGGGCATGGGATGCACGAACAGGTACCTTTTTGAACACCAACCGCGTGACCATGATGCCTGTGATTAGTGCGTCCGGAGACATGGGTGCTCCGCTATTCGTATTTAAGGGAAAACGTCTGCCGTATCGAGTTTCCGTGAAGAATGGAT